ACGGTGTACCTGGCATTGTGTATTGAGCACAAATACCACGCTTCTCAAGGAACTTAGCAAACAGACCAGGGTGTTGTCCACTTTCATCATATCTTCCATAATACTCATCATATAAAATTGGTTTCAATTTGAACTTGAAAACATAATTAGGGTTTATTCCTTTATTTAATTTTGAGAAAAATAAATTTGGGAATAAATTAGAGTTCATACTAATCTGATAAAGAAATCCCTAAATTCATAATTAGGATTTATCTTAATCTGGGAAAAACTTAATATTTGGGAAAACTTTCATACAAGGAAAATCATAAATCTAATAATCAGTGCTCTGATACCACATGTAAGACATTATGTAGTTTTCCTACGTTCTTAATTCATTATAGAAAACTACTCTACAGGATCTTTAGATTATTGATTTTCACAATTTTACATACATCAATACATGAATCATAGTAAGAAGACTAACATTGATCCATGAGAATCTTTTCTTTGATCTTTTCGTTCTCCTATCTCCTTTTCCCAATCTATATCTTTATCTTTCTTTCTCTTCTCACGCTTCGCTTTCTTGATGGTTTACCGTGAAAAAACCTTATGGCCAGAGACAGAACCCTAATCCCTTTTATTAACCAACGTCCATCAAATTGGTTACCGTAAGTTAATATTTTATTTTATCTTTATTTTATTCTGACTTCACATAATAACCAATAGGTCCTCATATTTTATTAAATCACATTTGGGCCCATTATGATATTTCACATGAGTCACATAATGGAATGAATTAATTAAATTAATTCTAACAAATCTTCAATCACATATATCAATCAAACAGGGTGCAAAAATATTTTTGTGGCAGATACAGAAACAGAATACAAGCATTTGAAGACATTAACTAATAAAAACAATTTCAATCTTATTTGCAACATATAACTACCCCTTCCAATGAATTTAGCTTCCACAAGAGATTAACATATATTTTATAATTACTGATTAGAAAACTAACGGCTGATGTACCTGATCTTCAAGGAGCCTAAACCACATTTAATTATGGAAAAAATGGGATACATAAGGAATCTCACCTTCTCTGACATACCCTAATTGAAGACTTACTGATTTTGATTCAGATCTCAAAAATGCTAATATAATAAAGCAATGTCTTATGCACAGGGACACTCCAACTCAATACTCGAATTTTTTTTCTTTAACTTGAACTCCAAAAATATAAGTGCGCGTGTGCACAAAGAATCATAATCATTATTTTTATTTGTATATAACGATATCAAAGCCTTCTCATAATTTTTGGAAGATAGGGTTAAGGGATAAGTATTTGGATAACATCAGTGATGCTGCGTTGGCTTGTCCTCTAATATGTATGGAAGACATTAAGTACGTTATTTTCTGCACTTGTAGCATATAAAATTGGAACCCGATACTCGTTAACTTGGGAGCAATTTAATATGATGTCGACGATGGAATGATTGAATTCCATGTGAGCTTGAGTTTTATGCTCAGTGATTGTCTTTCTCAGCCCCTCCTGTATTATACTGTTTCTGTTTCTCCCTCACTCTCTCTCGTGCATCTTACAAATATATAGATTAAAAGTTATTTAGAGTACCTGATTGTATTTTATTTTTCACATTCAAGAGTTTTAAGTTATTTCAAAAATATGTAAAGAATCCCTCCAAATCTAATTTATCAAGAGAAAGTTCTTGTTTATCTCCGCCAATGTTTCAAATTTTGTTTTCACCTTTTTAATAACTGTTAAAACTAAATCTTCAGCTTTTTTTGTTTTGTTTTTTGTTTTTAAATTAAACCTAGTTTTTTTCATGAATATATACTCTAGTTCCTCTCACAACAAGAGAATGATGATGACTACGGAAAGAGTTTCAGTGCAATTGATTGAAATCGAAGATCTGCAATTATCCACCATTCTTTTGATTTCAAATTCCATATATCCGGTAGGAAATCAAATTGTTGACCACTTAAAATTTTTCATTTATTAGACATGGGTAGACCCAATACATGCCAATATGTACCCAACGCACCCATAAATACCCAACGATAGGTTCTGAAGGGGTCATTCCAGATTCAAAACGATGGAACATATAAATCTATTTTATTTAGCGTAGAATAAAAAAGAAGAAAGGAGAATTGAGGATGTGAAGGGATAAAAATATAGCATATGATCAAAAAACTTTTTTTTTTAAGGAATATATAAATTTATTTTCTTTAAAGGTCTCCTTGTCATTGTTTGAGGAAGAACCTGCAAACTCATTTTTTATTGCTCTTAATTTTCCCAAGGCCTTTCGAGTTGACTTTTTAACTTTCTTCCTAAGTGCCATGTACTTTCCACCCTCAACTGTGAATTCAGTTTCAGCCACTTTTCTTCGAACAACTGACAGAAGTTCGTGTTTGCAGCAGGCAATCTTTCACAGTACTACAAATATCAAAGAGCCTTAGAGGCCAATCTGATAGTTCATCAATGTGTTTTCTGCTGCATTATTTTACCAATTGTTGGGTAATTGCCAATTGGAGTAACTTATCAACGCTATCGTGCAAGTCATCGAGTCTGATACTTATTGAAGATGATGATGACAAAGAAGTGTGGCTTCAGGAATCCTTGAATGTCTGCAAATGCTCCACAGCTTGTGATGCAGTGTGGTGTGGTGCATTGGGCAAGATATTGCTGCGACTACATATACAGAAAGCATTTTATGTTTGTTTATAGCAGTGCAATTTTCTCCTCTCAGAATTAAAAGGTGGCCGGATATGAAAATACTATTTGTTCTAAACTTTAGTTCTTGCTATTTGATATTGGTGCAATATATAGCAATATAGCAAATGAATGGAGGAGACAAGAAGAATATATTTGTTTCAAATGTCACCAAGTGAGGATGCAACTACATTATCTTAATACTGGTCTTACCATCCCAGTGTTGTCACAGCGTTGTTTGCTGGGTGCTTTCCGTGGACCAAGCTTCCAAACCCATTTCTTTAATTTTAATTTGGGATCACATGAATATGATATATGCCTATAGATGATATACCTTTGCTATGTCTCCTCCGTCTTTTTAGGTCTAAGATATAAAATCTCAAATTGTGAACTCCAAGAGGGCAAGTGATTGGATTGAACGTTGGAAGTGGATCTTGTGTCTGCTGGAGGAAAAGCAGATTTATTTATAAATACAATCAAACAGAAGATGTTGAACTGTATAGGGCTTGATAATGGGGAAGCGAAGTGGGGTATCTCTTCATCTTCAGACATCAAAGATTGTTCATATCATCAGGATGGCGATGAGTATGCACTGTGCAGTGTTCCCAGGTCATTTGTAGTTGTTTATGCAAATGCATGTAAATAGTAGGACAAATTTATACATTAATGAATACTGAATTAATTCTTTGTTTTGCTCTGTGAAGACAAGTTCATGAACTCATTTTTGTTTATCAATTGAAACAGCTCCTCCACTAGACAATACCTTCTATTATGATGCATGCTCCATGGAGTCTGATATTTTATTTTAGTAGTTTGCAAAATGAGGAAGGCTAGATGCATGATAATAAACATTGCCAGGCCTAGACATAAAAGGAAAAATATGCTTCTTGTCTCCTTTGTCGATATGATCATATGCTCATTATGTGGCATTTAACGGAAAAAAAATTAAAAAGCAAACTCCATCCCCATAATTCCTCCGCTATATATAAAGTAGATGCTAAGTTGCCAACCCTTAAACTCAAGACTCGAGAGTTCAGAACACACAATACAATCTTATCCCTACCTTTTTGTTTTAAGAAAAAATGGCAGTCACCGGAATAAACACAAAGAGTTCTCTGCACACTCGAAGCAACAGCTTTCCCTCCGCACCTCACCCACTCGTATCACAATATGAGGGGCATCTGCAAAGATTGAAGGATTGTGAAGCTACTTCTTCAATATCATCATCTTCACTAAGCCACAAACTTGATGGTTTGCTGGATTTGCACGACTGCACTGACAAGTTGCTTCAATTGACAACCAAACAACAAGTCTTAGCACGGGAGTGCAGTGACAAATGCGTTGATGGCCTTCTAGAAGGGTCTCTGAGGCTCTTGGATATCTGCAGTACAGCTAAAGAATGCTTACTAGTATCAAAGGAAAGCCTGCATGATCTTCACTCAGTAATCCGAAGAAGGAAAGGTGATGAAACTGTTTGCACAGTTGAGGGTGCAAAATACATGGCTTCAAGGAACAAATTGAAGAAGGCAATCAGAAATACATTGAGAAATTTGAAATTGATCAAGAGTGAGCCAGCAATTCTTCCTGCGAACAAAGATCAAGACACTTTGCCCATGCTTAGTATCTTAACAGAAGCAGAAGAGGTCACAATGAGCTCATTAGAATCTTTATTGTTGTTTATCTATGACCCCAAGGGACAACAGAAACAGAGCAGATGGTCAACAATCTCGAAGCTGATGCAGCCTAAAAGAGTGGCTTGTGACTCTCAAGAATCAAACACAAATGAATTTGAGACAGTAGATGCAACTTTGCAGTCTCTTGTCCGTCACAAGTCTTCATCTGAAGTGTATCTTCAAAGCCATCTTGAAAATTTGGAGATGTGCATTCATGATCTAGAATTAGGAGTTGAGAAGCTCTCAAGAAAACTAATTAGGAACCGAGTTTCCCTTCTCAACATCTTCAACCACTGATCATTTCACATCAATGATTTTTGTGAACTCAATTTTGACCCCATGTGTACTGACTATCAATTGTACATGTACATTAATGTGAATTAAGTTCTGTTTTTTCTAAAGAACATGCGTTAATTATAGTTATTTCATCTTCTGTCTTGTTCCCTATCTTTCAATTTACCTCTGTTCTTTCAAATGTTCACCTCTAAAATTAGTGAAACCAAAGGAAAGGTTGAACAAACATTTTATGATTTTAAAACCATAACTATCTGATCTGCTTTCTTGATCTATAAAAGAAAGAAAATGAAATGAATGATTAAGGAGGAGAGGACTTAAGTGTCATGATTAGCAAACAGAAAATTATTACAAGAGGAAAGGAAAAAGAGAACTATGCAAATAAAGTATTCAGTGCACATGTGATTCGAAGTCAATTTGAACGTGGATCCTATCTGTCAAGCTTAATATTGTCATTAGGTCAATGGTTAAATCAAAATTTAAGTGTCCGGTCGCTCATGTTGGGAAAAAGAAAGATGATCGTGTTCCTTTATGAGGACAAGCTGATTGGTATCTTATCTTAACACGCAGTTTATTATTAATTGATGTGTAGGACAACAGTAAAGTTAAAATTCAAGTTTTATGATCACTTGATTAAATGATATCCATAAGCTCCATTCAAATAGGAGCATCTACCATTAAGTATGATTAAAAATACTTTTCTCAAAGACTTTATGTGTAAATTAGTAACAGCGATTGAATTAAGAAAAAGAATTTCTTACACTGGATTGTTGCTCAACTTTTTCTGTTTTTCCTTTCTTTGTTGAGTGCTTATTGTGAACTTGACTTTGTGTAAAGTTTTTTTACTTTAATCCAAGTCAGTTATATACTTATTACTTAATGTAAACTTGGAAATTCCATTGCTAAAAATTAATCCCAGTGACCTGTTTATGCCCTTCTATTTATCTTCAGAAAACAATATTTTTACTCATTCTCTTTTAAGCCGAGTAACCCACAGAAACTGAAACACACTCATTATATTAAGTTTGAAAAAGAAAAGGAGATGGAAAACGTTGCACATGTTAAACTAGCTGCGGTTTGGCTTCACTTTTAGTTATCTGTTTCAATGAGCGCACGTGTATTGCATCTTCGTACTCTTGTAAAAATTTATACACCCATTACAGAATATCAATATTAATATATAAGTTAAATGTTACGTGGGAACGAGTGATACAATGTGATTCTTCTTGTCCCTTCATTAGAGGATTTCAAGTATTGTTTTAGCTTTAATATAGCTGTCCACCCGTGCAGATAGGTTACATTTAAGGTTGAAACACGTTTTAGGTGAGGCATTTGCATTGAAAAATGTCATAATCATCAATCATGCAATTGAGAGAGCAAGTTGAGACAAAAAACGAGTTGGATAGTTTCCTTGGGGGAGACACTTTTCTAACATCTCTGTAATTATGTTTAGATCCAAATCTCGATTAGTTAGTCTCATCGATATTTGTTTTAGAAGAGATTCTTTATGTCTCCAACAGCCATAATATAAATTGACAATATGCCATTGGCTGATCCATAGACTCATCAAGTCTACATTCAAAATCAAATCTTCTCTTCTCTTCTCTCTCTTCTCTTGAGCAAAAATGGCATCCTCTCCTTTGAACCCAAAATCCCATTCCCATGGTCGCTCTAATAGCTTGCCCTCTAGACTACACCCTCTCATTCTAAAATGCAATGAACACTTGGACAGCTTAAGGGCTTCCAAAGCAACCACCTTTTCCTCATTGCTTCTTAGCCATAAGATAGGAGGCTTGCAAGATCTGATTGAGTGTGTTGAAAAATTGACTCATCTTCCTCTCACTCAAGATGTACTTCTTCATGAGCGTCAAGAGAATTGGGTGGATGAGATTTTGGATGGATCCCTAAGGCTCTTAGATGTGTGTACTTCTGCCAAAGATGCTTTACTGCACACAAAAGAATGCGCACGTGAACTTCATTCCATCATAAGAAGGAAGAGGGGTGGTGAGGTGGAGTTGACAGCAGAGGTGAAGAAATATTTGACATCTAGAAAGGTGGTGAAAAAGGCCATCTCCAAAGCCTTGGCAAACTTGAACGGCACGTCAAAGAGTTGCAACATCTCATCAACCACAAACAAAGACCACCAAACAGTGGCTTTGATTACCTTATTACAAGACACGGAACTGGCAACACTATCAACATTTCAGACACTGCTGCAATTTATCTCAGGGTCAACACAAATAAAGTCAAACAGTTGGCTTTCAATTTCGAAGCTAATTCAGCCAAAAAGAGTGGGTTGCTCGCACGTGGCAGATGAAAGTGAATTTGCCCAAATGGATGCAGCATTGCAGTCCTTCATTTTTACCAAGCCATGCAAATTCGAAGACACAAACAATCTGCAAAGCCAGTTGGAGAAAATGGAGTCGTGCATTCAAGACTTTGAAGAAGGACTCGAGTTTCTATTTAGACGACTAATCAAAATCAGAGTCTCCCTTCTTAATATCTTCAACCACTAGTCCAACATAGTTGGGACTCAATTTTGTAGTGATCCATATAGACAAATTTGTACATGCAAATCATAAATGTAAATGTCTAGTGATAATGAACTCAAAAAAATCTTTCTGGAATTTTGTCGTGTTATCTCTTTTGGAACTTGAACATCAATGACATCATTATTACAACAGTTTCTGCAAGGAACATATTGGGGTTTCTCGTACAATCAATTTTGTTTGTTTTGGTTTGAATTGTGTTTGATCTATTTCAAGGTGAACAAATACAAGTACTACAACTGATTGTGTTGATCATGTTAAAAATATGAAGATTTTACTATTCTGAATTATAGAATGGATTTATAACAAGTTCATATCTATCTTGTACAAACGTACTAAAAAAGCAACACACTTGTACTAGGTTAACATATTTATACTGAATCCAAAATTAATGTAAGTACGTATATTTTAAAAAATTATCTATCTATGTATTTTCTTACTGTTAAGTATATAATTTATTTTTAATTGTTACATAATTAATTATTTTTGGTTGAAAAGGTGAACAAATATTTTGAAATATTTGTATATTCAAAATTATAATTCACATTTTTTTGAAAAATAAAAAATACATAAGTAAAAAGTGGTTGATTAAGGAACTATTTTTTCAAAAGGAAGGAAAGGGAGAAGCGAGGTTATGATTAGACCGTTTATTTGGTTTAAACGGAGGGAGATAATTATCCCTTTGTATGTTTGGTTTATAAGAAAAAAAAATAGTAATTTTATAATTTAATTTACTTTTATACTCATATAATTTTTTTTTTCAAAACATAAGAATTTATTTAATGGGTAGATAAAATATATCTTATTTTGTTGTAATACCAAAGTGATATGTTATTGTTATTTTGTCATTTATTATAGAATAATTTTTTCTTTCTATATATAATTTTGATCCATAATACTTTCTTTATCATGGGTCATAATATTATTAAAATTTAAATTTTTAATATTCAAATATATTTTAAAGAAAAGTATTTGAGTTAAAATTATATTTTTTATAATTTTCATAATTTTAAAGAAATATAAATCAAAAGACAATTATTAAAAAATTAATTTAAACTTTAATAAAAAATCATCACACACACACACACACACACATATATATATATATATATATATATATATATATATATATATATGTTATAATGTATAAAATCGTTTATCCTATAATATCTATATCCTATATAGATTAACATATAATAAAAATAATATTCCTTTTTTTTTCGACTCTGTCAATAATCTATATAGATTTTTGCTTTTACATTTTAGTGTATTAATCTTTTAATTTTCACATATAAATCTTTCAAATTTTCAAATTCTTCCATTATTATTTTTTTTACTTAAAAATATTGAATTATCTTTTCTGTACTAAAATCTTTCATAAACTGTATGTATTAGATAAATTTAAACTATTTCTTTCACCTTAAAATCACCAATCAAAGTATTATATTGCACTTAAAATTAAAAAAAAAAATCCTTGTTTATAAATATCTATCTATCAGAATTTAAACCTCTACATCTTTAAATCAGTTAGATCTCACACATTTTAAAAACAGTGAGTATAGTTAATGATTTTAGACTTTTATTTAAATAAAAAGTAATCACAAAGCTTAATTACAGAAGTAGAAATCTAAAAATTGATTTTAATCAAATTTAATTAAAAAAATCACACAAAAATTATAATAAAGATATAAAAGTTACAATTAAAAAAAAAAAAACACCTGTACAAGTTAACTCAATCACTGTTTTGTATTTGCGTTAATCAATTGCTAGCAGACATGCCACATGAATTTTGTCACTTTGTAAGCTGTTTTTCTTAACACGGACAATCAGATGGTTCGGTTTCAGATTTTTGGTTTTATTCATTTTCATCTTTCTTAATTTATTTTAAATAACAAATTTAATAAAAAAATAATAATTAGATCTCTTTGTTCCATTTTTTTAGCTAATGGGGACAACGTTTGAGAAATCAACATGATTTGATATTATTTATAAGAAGGCAACGTTTAAAAATGGCTGCCATGTCAATTATAAAAACCATAATTGTCACTTAGAAAAAGTAATTATTTTAAAAAGTATTGTATTAACATATAAAAGTGTTTTTTAAGCATAAAATAATTAAAATACCACCAAAAATTGGGTGCTTCTATCAATTGTGATATTGTGGTTCATATTATTGAGTTGCGTCGTTAACACATTCAACGGTGGAGATGAAGCTAAATGGACTGTGATGATGGTATCAAATAAATTGTGATATCATCCCAAATCATACTTTTCTAGACAATGGAACCAACGGTGGAGGCCATGCGAGGGCATCATGTTCACATGCATCATGAACTCACTCCATCATGTGCTTGTTTGTTTCTTAATCAAACCCACTCCTCCATCATCATCATCATCATCATCATCATCATCATCATCATCATCATCATCATCATCATCATCATCATCATCATCATCATCATCATCATCATCATCATCATCATCATCATCATCATCAATTTCCTCTCACATGTGTTGTTCTCTTAACCTAATCATTCAGTGTGGGCCTTCGTCTTCTGATTAAGGGCGTCATCTTCATCTCCTATTCTTTTGTTTTTAATATAATTTAATTTCATCTTTTATATTGATAAGTAAACTGTCATAAAAAAATAAATAATAAACTACAATATTATTATTTCTATAAGAAACAATTTTCAGCATTATTTGTTGTTTAAATGTTAGTAATGATTTGTCTTACTATTGGTAGGTAGAAATTAATATTAATGAAGTACATAATTGACAAGTGAGTAAAGGAGGTGATGAAAAGGTGTTGTGGGGACCAACAAAGATACTTTGGTAGGCCCACTGACAGATAGAATGGGCCTTGGGCCCCACAGAGTAGACGTGAGCCGTCCACGCAGCTGGACTGTGTGCTCTGGACAAAGCCTCTGCATGCTCCGCCTGATCCAGCAGTTACATTTTTTTTTTATCTCAAATGTTATATTTTCTATTTTACGTAGTAAATAAAAATTATTACATGTTTTATTGTATGAAATGGGAATCCAAAAATTTAAATATTTTATATATGGCAATCTCAAGTTTTATAAACCATTTTTTTAATATATTTGATTCTTATTGAGATAATTTGATTGGAAAACAGTAAAAGTTGAAGTGAGACAAAATGAGCAGAGCGATCAATGAGTTTGTAATGCTTTTGATTTTTAATTCTCATCTACGTATGGACATGCATTCTTATAGAGTTGGACTATGTTGCAGTGTATTAACAGAAAGGAATATTTTCTTTCCTTCAAAAACATTTGCCTTCTGAATCATATAATTTGTATACTTCGATCATTCAATTTTAGTGAGATCTGGATTTCTCAACATTTGACGTATTTATGCTACAAGTTAATCCAAATCATCAGAGAGATGGTCCATGTTTCAGACTGAGGAGGTATCAAATGGATTCTTCTCATCTTATTTGGTCCAGAAACTCAATATTTTTTCTGGTTTCACGTTAAATTAATTCTGCACGTAGTGGAGGTGGAGTTAAAATTTTAACTAAGGGATCAGGGATCAAGAGACTAATAATACCAATTAATAATGAAGATTTAAACTTCTAATCATACACTATTATTGAAAATGAATGTTTTTGCCATTCATCGTGATTATATTCAGTTTGAATAAGATTATATGCATGTTATACTCAATCGTAATATTAGATAAATTTATTGGAAAATGATTTTAAGATTATTATTTTTGTTTGGAAGAAGAAAAAATAGTTTTATATAAAAAAATATGAAGTTGAAAGAGAAAAATGGTTGGAGAAAAATTATAAATTATAAACTTTTAAATTCATAAAAACAGCTTAGTTTTTCGAAAAAAAAAGTTGTTTCCAAAATTAAACTATTATTATCCTGAACATGCAGCAAAAATTACAAACCAATATTGATCTCAAAAACAGTTGAAATCAAAAGAAGAAAAATCCTTCCCAAATATAATAAGAGCAAATTGATACAAGGTGTTAAAGGGTAGCAGGGGTTGGTTTGGTTTGCCAAATGTTTCACTGAAAGTTGATGGATTTTGATGAATTTATAAGTATATTTTTTTAGATGATTCTATGCACTGGAAAGAAGTTATCAATGATATGTGAGAAGAAAAGAGAGTTTTGTTCTTTGATGTTGTGTTATTTATGAACATCATGGCTGAGTCGAAAATTTACGATGTATGAAATAATTAGGAAGTGAAATGGTAATTGCAAGCATCAAAATATTTATTGATCTTCATCAAAACCAAAATGAAGAAGAAGAACGATTAGTGACAAATTTTGCAATATGTCAGATTTAGAGCAGGATCTTTTGGGTGGTATAATGCATTCAAGCAAATAAGAACCGTAGAAATTCACATCAAAAGTTTTGGAACGAATCTACATATTAATTATTATTTTCCTTTGATTTCATGTACCACCAGTGCCCGTAATTGATGACATGTCTTTGTTCCTTAATGTCTATCCCACGTGGGACAGACACCTTGGACTAAGGGAATTGGGGGTCATGAAATTCACGGCAAACAAACATTATTTAATGTTTATATATATATATATATATATATATATATATATATATATATATATATATATATATATATATATATATATATATATGCTACCTTTTCTATAGTTTTTTGGAAATTAATACAGTAATAGTTATCAAAACCATAGATTTTTCTCGTGAGAGGTCTGCCTCACAAGCCAATAAAGGCAACCTCTGGTACCTTCATTACCACTCCATCGCATTATAAGTCTAATAATTGACCTTCAATCGTCTCAGAAATCAGAATCACTGTGTGATTGGTTCTCCAGATTTCCACTTTATTGCACACTTACAAAAATTCATTAATTTAATCCTTTTCAACTTCACCTTCCTTGGTGTCAAGGTAAGCTTTTATTTATGTTAATTAATTAGTTAGTTACAATTTCTCATCAGCTTTGCGTAATGCACACTTCAGAGAGTTTGTAATTGAAGTGAGTTTTTCGCATTTTGCAAGGACTCTCAACCTTTAACCCGACACTTCGTAGCAGTAAGTTGAGATCACTGTAATGGCTTCTTCTTGTGTGACCTTGAAAGCCAATGCCCACTTGGCAAACTCAGAGAAAGGCTACCTTTTTGGTCAGGAAAGTGTCTTTCTAGGGGAAAGAGTAAAAGTTAGCTTGAACAACAGTGCTTTTGGGATGAATCAGTTGGCTAAATGTGCAAGAAGCCAGAAGAGGGTGAAACGTGGTGTTGCATCTGCTATTCTCACTTCAAACAATGCCCAAGAATCAGTGGTTAGTTTTATTTGATTCTGGGATTCGCCTTCTACTTCTTGGAGCTTTTTACTTTGTTTGTGTGGTTGCATTTTTATTTGGTGTGTTTTGAATTTCAGTCCTTGCAAGTGCCTTCGTTCCTGAGACGAAGGGCTGATCCAAAAAATGTTGTTTCCATTATATTGGGTGGAGGACCTGGGAAACAACTTTTTCCCCTCACTAAACGTACTGCCACACCTGCGGTAAGTGAATCGTGGTTTTGGTCTAAATCCTAAGCTGTTGCGGTTGTAATGGTTTTGGTCCGAACCTTAAGTTGTTGTCATGCTGTGTGGCATGCAATGTGTTTTCAGGTGCCGGTGGGTGGATGCTACAGGCTTATAGATATCCCTATGAGCAACTGCATCAACAGTGGCATCAACAAAATATTCGTGCTGACCCAGTTCAACTCTGCATCTCTCAACCGTCACATCGCCCGGACATATTTTGGAAATGGCATCAATTTTGGGGATGGGATTGTGGAGGTACGTGCAACACCATCACTTTTGGTTACTGTGATTGATAGGGAAATCTAATCAACTAGAGAGGTTCTTGTTGACCACTTTCAATTTTCTGTTTCTTAGTTATTCATGCGGTGACTAATTAAGCCAACCTAAACTCCAAACAGGTTCTGGCGGCTACTCAAACACCGGGAGAGGCTGGAAAGAAGTGGTTCCAAGGAACTGCAGATGCTGTGAGGCAATTCACTTGGGTATTTGAGGTGGGCGTGTGATTATTTTTTGTATACTACTTGGCCTTTTTCTTTAAGTTTTTTTTTTTTTTTTTCAGTATAATTATAGCTTTGTTACAAGTAATAGGGTCGTTGTTGCAGGATGCCAAGAATACAAACGTTGAGAATGTATTGATCTTGGCTGGAGATCATCTATATCGAATGGATTACATGGACCTTATACAGGTTTATAGTGTAATTGTTTTGTATAATGGATAATATTTTATTTTTCAAAAGTTTTCTGATTTACTTGGTTACAAATGAACAGAGTCACGTTGATAGAAATGCTGATATCACAGTTTCATGTGCTGCTGTGGGTAACAGGTTTGTTCGGACAGATGCGTTTCTTTTTGTTGCTTAATGCTACCCTCATCTCCTTTATATAAAGAACAAATTATAGTTTTTCTTATAAAAAGGACCGGAGTAAGTATTATTATGCAGCATTGTGCTTAATTTCTTTCCAGGTGAGTCAATAGAAACGACTAACTTCCTGATAATAAAAAAAATTACAAATTTATTTGTCTGCTTTACAGTCGTGCATCAGATTATGGATTGGTTAAAGTAGATGATAGAGGCCGTATCATTCAATTTTCAGAAAAACCAAAGGGTGATGATATGCAAGCTATGGTAATTCATAATCTAACCTAATGTTGCATCTTCTTTCTGTTTTCATGATATCTGATAATTTTGTTGTGGTTGCTCACTACAAGAAAGAAAAAGAAAAAAGAAAAAAAGAATTATCATTCTCATTTTCAAGACTCTTTCCTCCTCGTAAGGGTGAACATCTTAGAGCATTGTAATATTTTCTGTAATTTGCTGGATCCAAAAGCCTTGAATCCCGATGTTTCATCCTTTTCTTCTAGCCATAGCTATTTGATTTTCTACAAAACTTTTTGGCACCATAATAATATGTTCATAATATATATATATATATATATATATATATATATATATATATATTTTTTTTTTTTGTCTGATCTTGATCTTAATGTATTCATGTATTCCTGTGCTATTCTCCGCAGCAAGCCGATACCTCTCTTCTTGGGTTGTCGCCCCCAGATGCATTAAAGTCACCATATATTGCATCTATGGGGGTTTATGTATTCAAGACGGATGTTTTACTCAATCTTCTGAAATGGAGATATCCTACCTCCAATGACTTCGGATCTGAAATCATTCCTGCAGCTGTGAGAGATCACAATGTCCAAGTACGAAAAAATTTCATAAATATATCTTCTTTCAAATGTTTTTGTACATTAGAGAGCTAATTACACCTATGGAGAAGTAACAATGCAAAGTTATATTTTTGTTGTTTTTGCAGTCGTATTTTTTCAGAGACTATTGGGAAGACATTGGAACCATAAAATCCTTTTATGATGCTAACTTGGCTCTTACTGAAGAGGTGGGTTCAAGTTTTCTAATTGAATGGTTTTCTCGTTACGTGAGTGTAGCCAGTAGGCTCCATGTATTAGTCGCAAGCCACAATAAGATACATTACTGGTCCCTTCTTTGCATCCATGTTCAGAAACATAGGCTTTCGGCTGAGTATGAAGGCCAACAGGAAATGGCTCATTATGCAGAGGCCTAATTAGTAGTTGCAGTGAAACACAACTCAATTAGCTACTAGAATGTTGCAAATTGTCAGTATTCAGTGTCATTTCTGAGTTGATTAAAACTAATACTCATCTGCTCTTTGTTATTCTCTTGCAGAGTCACGAGTTCGAATTTTATGATCCAAAGACTCCCATTTACACATCTCCAGGATTCCTACCACCAACTAAGATTGACAAATGCCGGGTATGATAATGAAAAAATTATATCGCAAGATATTTTAGTAACATCATGAAACTGTTTGAAAAAGAAGAGAAACATCATGAAATGTCTTGGTCATTCTGTTTGAGTTGCTTTGGTAGATTGCGGATGCCATTATCTCCCATGGATGTTTCCTGCGAGAATGCATAGTCCAACACTCCATTGTTGGTGAACGTTCACGTTTGGATTATGGTGTTGAACTTCTGGTAAACAACTACACATTCTAGATCTGTTATGCTACACTACCCACTTAAAATTCCTCTTAACCACAACCTCCTTTTACAGGACTCTGTGATGATGGGAGCGGACTATTACCAAACCGAATCCGAAATTGCTTCTCTCCTGGCAGAGGGGAAGGTCCCAATTGGGATCGGAAGGAATACCAAAATTAGGTAATTTAACTCATGGTCAATGGACAGCAGATTATTAAATCATTTTGTGGACCTAAAAAGTTCGAAGTAAAAATACAGATATATATTGAATAAGTATCATGATAAAAATACAGATATATATTGTCATGTAGCAATTGTTATTATTATTGCCAACTAATGGTAACCAAGTTGTTCACGTAATTTGTTATCTTCATTGAAGGAACTGCATCATTGACAAGAATGCAAAAATTGGGAAAGATGTCATCATCAGGAACAAAGATGTAAGCACGATTTTACCTTTAATCCTGTTTTACAGACACTTGTTTTCTGGTTGAAGTAACGTAAATATTATGTCTTAGTTACCAACTGAAATGGTTTTTCTGTAGGGCGTTAAAGAAGCAGATAGACCAGAAGATGGATTTTACATTCGATCAGGAATCACCATCATAATGGAGAAGGCAACAATAGAAGATGGCACTGTCATATAAAGGATAGCGCTTATGTCTTGGGTGGGTTGCCCAAAGGCGGTGAAAGAAGCATTCTGAGGAACACACTCAACATCTTTGCGGACAGAAGGGTATAGCTGTTGCAACGTTATGTTATCTAGCAATGGAGAAAGCAGCAAAACACCCGATTTTCTGTGTAAAATAGGAGCTCCCCCACTACCACTACTTGTAAAAATAGAATGAATAAAACATGAAAATCAAGATGCATGAAAGCAAATAAAATGAAGGACTGATCCTGAGCTACGAAGTTGCTTTACCCCTTTCTAAAATATTATGTTATGACTCAGCGGATTCATAACCATCAGTTCTTGTTGACATTTATACGTGAACCTAATCCATTATTACGTAGTCTTAAATATAATGATGAACATGTGATAAAATAGTAACAGTAGAAATGAACACCAAATTTCTAAGGAAAATTACTGTGGACACTATCATGTTATTTCAGAGAGAAAATTATAGGCACAAGATATCATATGATACTACAAAAAGAAAAGTGTTTATACTATTGATAAAAATAAAAGTATTTAATACTGTTAATATAGTGTCTGATATCAAGATGTCATGTATCTTACATGGGAACAATGCTCAATGTCAAGTGGAAGAAATTATCAAATAACTTCTGTTAATTGAACCATGTAGTCACCAATCACGTGAAATTTGTTAGATGGACGAGTGGTACTTGTGACTTTGAAGAAAGTCAAAGTCCTAAAGTTGCGTTGAGAGGCACAGGTGTTGAGTGAGGCATGGAAAAATAAAGAGTTAAGCTAAATTAAATGCATGGAGTTTAGTGCATGGAGAAGAGGAAACGAAGAGAATGCAATCTCGGAAAATAGCGGAAGTGTTGAACGTCTCGGACGGTGGGTTAGACAAGGAAAAGGACTTCACTTCAAGCCTCCACAATGATGATAGACAACACGTACAGATTGATTCTGGCACCGCCCTCCAACAATTTCTTGATCACGTACCCATTAGTTCGATAGCTGGCATAAAAAACTCACCTGGTACTTTTATTGTCGTTGCCTACTTTGCTTTGTTTAAGAATCAAAATCAGAAACATTACTCGATCGTGACTCTTACATGATTCAATGCAATGCATGTTCTGTCCCTTGTATCCTAAGTTTTGGAATTGAAAGCTGGAGACAGTATAAGGGATGCAATTCATATGTTGTACGAAAAGGACATCTTTTCTGCGGCAATTGTTGATATGGTAGACTCCCATATGAATAGCATAAAGTTTTCAGATCGGTACATGGGTCTCATTGATTTTACAAGCATGGTTCTTTGGTGCCTTGAGGTATAACTCGTATTTTATCCATCATTCCCCCACCCAAATGGCACAGCATTCTAATTAACCATGTGCTATTTTAAAGGAATTTGAAAAGATCATGAATAATATCGAGGAAAACAATCTCAAAGATATAAAGAACGACGGCTTTTTCTCCATCCTGGACCAGATTCCTCAGATTGGGCAAACCAAGGTTTCCTGCGTTTTCTTTTTGCTACCTTTACTTCAGGCATTGTGAATGTTTACAGGGAAAATAAGAAAAAAGGTAAAATGCAAGATTTTAGATTATAATCAACTTATAAATCTTAACTTGTAGAGTTCAATTAAAAAAATCTATAAAATTTAAGAGCAGCTAATTTTAGTTTCTCACAGACTCATTCATTTTATCTTTTTATTCTTTTTTTCTCCAACGGATCTTAAAAAGAAAGTTATTTAAAGCTTTCTTCTGTCCTTGCAAACTATGCCCAAACTTTGTGTTTGAACAACTTTTGCACTGATTGGAGACTAGGAATGGATCTCCTTATAACCATGCCAAAACTGTCCCATTGAAAACATTGTTAATTTTAAGTTAACTAGTCCAATATTACTAGGTTAGCGAGTTGGCTAAGTCATTCCTCTGGGAACCATTTTTCCCAGTAAACTTGGACGATACGGTTTTTCATGCACTGCTACTTCTCTCTAAGCACCAGGTGCACGTTTTGCCGGTCATACAGCAACGTGAAGATGGACTCATCGGTTTTGTTACACAGGTATCTGCAGAGTTAAGCACGGCTTAGGGTTATTTTGATTGAAGCACATGTATGTATCTTCTTGTAATATGCTGCTGTGCTTTCTGCTAGACTGCAGTAGTCCAACACCTTCTTCAATATAGTGAACTAGAGTGGTTTGACAGCATTGCAGATAAGAACTTGTCAGATTTGCGGTATTCAACTCACATTCCTTAATGTTCATACATGAAACATCCATTCTCCACTTGTTCAAGTGAATTGGCAATCTTGCATGTTGCTCTTTGACCCTTTTTCTTACCCTTGCACAGATTTGAAGGCCTACAAAATCCTAGTTGTGTATTTGCGGACCAAACTGTTGCAGATGCTTTAAAGTCGCTCTGGCAAAACCAAACTAGTGCAGTAGCGGTTGTAGATCGAGAAACTAAGAAGCTCCTAGGCAATGTGAGGAAAAGTGATGTTTATATTCTTGTAAGGAATAATGACCTCCTTAGAAATAGAACGTAAGTTCAAGACATGTCCTCTCTCTCAATATTACTTTAACCAAGATGACAGAGGTGCCTGTTTATATGCAATAACAGGATTTTAACTGTGGGGGAATTCATTCAAATAGAGACTGACAAAGCAAAAACTAAGCCAAAAATTGAACATGATCATGGAGCTTTTCTCACAGCCGGAAGTCTTCGGCTCAAAAACAGCTTCACACCCAGAATGGACTTCCCCGTTGCCAGCAAGGAAAATTCCACGCTCAAGCAAATAATGGAGCATACCATAGAGACTAACACCAATTTTACCTTTCTGACCAATGATAAGGAGCAAGTTACAGGTTTGCTCACACTGAGAGATATAATTCTGCAGTTTGCCCCCCCATGTGTTAATTCTACCATTAATGGAGGTGGCTTTTTTGAATTTGCCTTGGAGCAAAGTGGATGTCAAGTGAAAAATGGAACTATGATTCGTAATCATTGATCTGATATAGCAATGTTTGAAGACTTAGGCTCATCAGGCCCTACTAATGCAAGCCACTTTTGGGAAGACGCAGTGTAATATCTACTGTTTGTATCCCCTCAGAAAAAAAAAAAAAAACAAAGGAATAGCGATTTGTTAATAAGTTAACATTGTTTCAGCATGACCTGTCTATATTCTTGGTACATTTCATAATTTTGCTAAAGTCTTACAATTTTATGCAATGTTTCCCCTTCACCGTGAGAAGAATCTGATTGCCCTAATAGTCCTTTAATCCGCCTTCTGCACGTTCCTTCTTACGAAGAACAGTTGCCATTGCCACAGCTACTGTATTTTGACTTTGCAGCATAGGAAACCTTGTATGACGGATGCAAAGAAGAAGTCAAGAACTAATTCATTATCAAGAAAAAAGAAAAAACAAGGATCTATGAGTAGGATGAAACCAAAAAAAAAAGTGATTATGAGTATTAAGAATAAGTACAGAAGATATTAACAGTTTAAGAATTATTTTTTAGTGAAATGGTGGCTTGGCTTCCCCATTGAGCATTCCCACAACCTCCACCATGTAAGGTCTTTTTCCGAGGCACCTTGCAAACACAACAAGGCAAGGCAATGGTGATGCAGAGCAGAGTCTGCTCCTTATCCAATGAATGACTATAATAGTGAACCAGACCAATATATATTTTAAAAAATAAATTAATTAAGAGTAAAAAAGTTGTAAAACAGAGTCATGACCATAATCTATTGGGCCAGCTAGCAAAGCCCATTTCAAGGAAGCTTTGTCTATTGTACGGGCACCTTGCCAAACAAGACATTAATACAACGGAATTAACCTTCAAATTTTAATTTTTTAAGAAAGTTATAGCAATTTATTTAGAGGCAACGAGAAGGGAAATTTAAAATTTAACATACCCTCATACTAGCATCAGATTAAAATAACCATTTAAAAACTATTAACTTTACTTTGAATTATGCGATATTAAAAGTAAAAATCCGAATTATGAAAAAGTAGAATATATTTGGATTGGATTCATTTCTTTCCTAATTGATTTCAATTGCACATTATTTAAGTCAAATTAATAAATAGAGGCTTGTATTTTTAAAAATTTTAATAACTATCCAAAAACTGGTACATATTAAATGTGAAAATTAGATGTAGAGTAGAAGGGTAGGGAAGGTAAGGAAGAAAGAAGGTGGTGAGAGGGTGAGTCTTAACAGGACATGACATGAGACACGAAAACACACAAATTGACGGAATCAATCAAACATTCAAACCCAACCCACCTAGTAGATCCGCTCACCCAGGTCAGCTTACATTCTCCTTCATTTCTCTTTCTTTCTTCCCCTTTCCACCTTCTTAGGGTTTCTTTTCCTCCAAAAACACCCACCCAGATCTCCTTTCCCCTTTTTTCCTAAACCTTAACAAATAACAAGAACAATATCCGATTCTCTTCGTTTCTTCCGATTCTAAACTTTAAGCTTCAGAAACCTCTCGAATGGAGGCAAGTGGCGGTGGTGGTGGCGGTGCTCCGTCGTCTGAGCCGGTCAAGCAATATTTGCAGGAGTTCTCCAAGCTGTTTCAGTACTATCTGGACAAATCTACCCCTCATTCCGCGTACAGATGGATTGGGACATTGGTCATCGCATCCATCTACATCTTGCGTATTGTTTATGTGCAGGGGTTTTACGTTGTCTCTTACGGCCTTGGAATCTACCTTCTCAATCTCTTGATTGGTTTTCTCTCCCCTTTGGTTGATCCAGAGATCGATCCCTCCAACTCCCCTTTGCTTCCCACCAAAGGATCCGATGAGTTCAAACCCTTCATTCGCCGCCTCCCTGAGTTCAAGTTCTGGTAACATCCCACGCACTCTCTCCCTCTCTCTCTCTCTCTCTCTCTCTCTCTCTATATATATATATATATATATATATATATATATATATATAGGGAGAGAAAATAGGAAGATAAAGTGAATTAAACCTAGTGTATGTTTGGATGAGTTTCTCCCTTAAGAACTACTACGAACAAAATGAAATGAATTTATTTTTTATAAGCTAAAATTAGTTTATGGACAAGTTAAAGAGAGAAATTTATAGAAGATATATGAGAGAGCTTCTACAAATTAACTTGTGCATGGGATAAATTTAGTTCCTGGAGAAGTTAGTTTTCTCTCTTAGAAAGGGTTATGGAAAAGTTTTACTAAAAATCAACTTATGTAATAAGTTATTGCCTGGATAAACTACTCCTCAGTAATCACTTATAGAACAAGAAAATTAGACGATAAGGTGAAATAAGGGTCACTTTGGATATATTTTCCGCATATTCTTTTGGAAGGGGAAATATGAAATATGTTTCTGTATAAGCTAAAATTATTTATCCATAATTTAATTTGTAATATTTTCTCATATTACTTTATCTAATATCTAACTTATACATTAGCTAATATTAGTTTGTGGAAAGACGTATTTAGTTTTTCTGTTTTTTAGAAGTGTTAACAGAGAAGTTTATTCACCAAGTAGGTCCTAAGTCTCTCCTGTAAACTAGAAGCAGTTTTTGGAAAACTTAAATAAGAAAACTATAAATGAAAGAGAATATAATTGATGTGTATAAATGAGAAAGCTTTTGTAAATTAGTTTATGGGAGAAACTTAATTCCTTTTATTTTAGTTTCTTTTTCTATTGATACTTATTGAGAAGTTTATCCTAATAGAATCTAAATTGGTAGTGGGTTGGGTAGTGTGAGTTTATTTGTATCTGTAATTTCTTTATTTATTCAAAGTGGTTACTGTTTTCATGCGTGTAGGTATTCTTTCACCAAGGCTCTCTGCATAGCGTTTGTAATGACCTTCTTTTCCCCGTTTGATGTTCCTGTGTTTTGGCCTATATTACTCTGTTACTGGTTTGTTCTCTTTGTCCTTACAATGAGGCGCCAAGTTGCACACATGATCAAATACAAATATATCCCATTTAACTTGGGGAAGCAGGTTTATCTTATTCTTAAATTTCGTTTCCATCGTTTATCTTATACAATTGTTAGTATTTTCTTTTCTTTTTTTTGTCACTTAAGTCCAGCACAAGTAAGGTTTGCTTTTATTTTTGTGTCGTTTCTTCCTGAAATATAACACTGCTTCTTTTAATATCTGGCAGAAGTATGGCGGTAAGAAATCTTCTGCAGGTAGCAGTGGCTCTCGAGCAGACTAAACTTGGCTCTCACGATTAGGCTCTGCTATGTTAGGTTTTCTGAAAAATCAGGCTAGTTAATTTCCCCCCTTTTGATGAAAGAATTTGTATTTAGCGTATTGCGGATGCTAGTATGCATTCTGCAGTTACAGAAAATCTTATTGCCCACTCCTTATTATATTACACATGAAGACGTGCTAATATTGTTAGTGAATTTCATTGCCCGTACACATACATGTATTGATTGGATTTTCTTGTAAATCTCAGCTCGTATTCTTGAATTTGTGATACTGGAATTTTTCCAATGCTGATTCTACCTCATGTTAAGGCAAAGTTAATTTGTCGCTTTCGCTTTCTGTCTGCCCCAACCATATCGTTAAGGATTAGATAGGGTCTTGAACACCATCACCGAAAGTAGAGAGAGACATGGGTGGATAGGATCCGTTTCCAGTAATTTGTCTATTAAAGTGCGTCAAAATTTGGCCCATTTCTTAGGATGTTGTTGATGGAATGATAGCCTAGTCTCTTCTAAGCTGTCTAGAGACACTTCCCATTTGATATTTTCCGAGTTCATACATTACACTAATTATATGGAATAAAATAACATTCATGATCTTTCATTTATTATATTTATCTAAATAATTTTATTTTATTTGTTAACATCTTTTTAGAATGTCCTTTTAAATAAGTTATCATCCACTTCCTTCAATAAAATTTTATTATTTCTATAATAAAATATTTCACCATTGAACAGTATGCTTTTTTATAAATAGAAAATATTTTTTAGTTTTACTTTAAATAATACAAAGACGTTTTCTAATTCTAGATTGATAGGACAAATAATAATCCAAGCAAATATTTTATAAAATAAAAAAATAACAAAGTCTTAGTATAAACTTAAGAAGAGTTCATATTTTAAACATGTTTCCACGTTCGTATGCTGATCATTTTAATATATTACTCAGTTTTTTTCACAGTTAACTTTTATATATAACTTGATGCACCATATTTGTAATGCAATTTACTCCACCAATGATCCATTTCATAGAACTTAAATAAAACTAAATTAGCGGCAATGCTTATCCCTATAAATAAAGTTCATGAAACTGGCTTAACGAGGGAGATTATAGTGATTTCCAAAGTAAAAGGAACATTACATTCAGAATGAATTATAAAGTTGGTGGAATATTAATTGATAATTTTAATTTTAGCATAATCGAATGCAACTATGTTACAAAGTCGTAACAACGGTCTTTATTAATATTATAATCATAACATATTTAAATTAAAATAAAATTAAATAAAAATTATTATTTTATTAAAATATGAAGTTGTCCATTGTTTGTTCAAAAAAAAATTAAATAATCTTTTTTCTTTTCAAAAATTTGAAAGGATTATGATATTTTCACAACTCACTCTTAAACATCTATTTAACAATTCAATTTTAGATTTTTATATTATTATTTATCTATTTAATTCTCTTTATTAATAAAAAAATAATATTTTAGAGTTCTCTATATTTTAAAAAATTGGGTGTGAACAAATATTTTTCCCAATTAAAATCAGCATACTCAAACTTTTTATCATCTAATAAAGCATCTTAAAACTAGCAAATTATTAAAAAAATAATAAAGAAAACATTATAAATCAAGGATGAAACATTAAAGTTATAATTTTTATTATTAATAATTAATCTTTATTATTTTTATATACATTTATATATCAACGAGCCATCAACTTAATCAAACTAATATAAGAAATTCACATTGTTCTAAACCACAAAAAATATTAAGATATTGAATCATGAATCTTTATATATTTGTTAAATTTTTAACCTAAAACTTTAAATAATTGAATTATAATATGTTATTCAACTTTCTCTTTCTCAATAAATCAATCCAGGAGTTCTCTCATACTTAAATACCCAACCTATAATAAAAGAGTAGTGATATTTTGACAACTAGAAATCATACAACTCTTCAAACAACTCACTTTTATTAATATAATAATCTATAGACTCGATTTAATAAAAATAAAAATAAAATAAAACTATTATTATAATATTAAAACAGAGTTGTTTACAGGAGTTGTATAGATTTGGGTTGTCAAAGTATCATTTTCCATAATAAAATGATGATAATATAACAGAACATAGATTTCTTCATTTGGAAGACAAAGGTAGAGTAGTAAGTTTCAGCAAAGAACAAACTAAGCTCGCATCTCAGACAAGCTGATTAAGACACTCATCCACGGTGGTGTATTTCACGCCAGGATGTAGAGCTGAAGCCTCCACTCCAAATGAAGAATCAATTTCAAAGTTAGTATGATCACCCTTTATGTGAGAAGAGTGGTTAAATGATAGTAACAAATTCACGGGCGGAGAAGACTCTGAAAAAGTAAAAAAATAAAAAAGTTATCATTGTTAAATCCAAACATATATATATATATATATATATATATATATATATATATATATATATATATATATATATATATATATATATATATATATATATATATAATATAATATAACCTAAATAACGGTTTTTTACAGACCTTGAATTTGCTTTGGTATTTGTTCTTCTGAAATATAGATTGTTTCAAGAGTTTTACCGATCTTTCCCTCCCAAAGTGTTAGCTGGCGGTCTAAGATAAAGAACTTTGTTCAAGGTTCTCGGATCATCAACAGAATTGATTGTGTAAGTTGCCATATCCTCTTCCTTGTTAAAAACAGCTGTTAAAGAACTACAACTGCATGGTGCCGGTCCGCATCAGTTCCAAACTCAGATGGATAGAATTTCTGTAAAAAATAACAATGTTAGTCAGAAATGGTTTTACGTACATTAAAAGTTTAAAATAATACACTTTTCAAAAGGTGAAGCTATATACCAAGGGGAAAAAAAGAAAGAACCATACCTTAACATTTCCTGCTTCTCCTATTGCAGAAATGATGTTATCTTGATCAGCTAGCTGCGAGCGTCCTACGGTAGAAAAGACCACATCAACCTGCTTTATGGCGTTAACCAAAGTTTGGTGATCGTACAGATCTCCCTGCATATAATAAGAAGGTCGATATCTTTAATTAGTTTAGCTGATAGTAAAACAAGGTTAAGTAGTAAAAAGTTGATATAATTATGTCTTAAATTGTTATGAAACCACTTAATTTTAATATATTTTTTTCTAATATAAGATGAATTCGAGAATACCTTGATACAAGACTAAGGAGCATAATTGTCAGTATAATTTGAGTAAAATTAAAAGAAAGAAGAACGCTTAAGCGAGTGAAAAATGCGAGGTCCGGCCCAAATTCTCTTATAAAAAGATAAGTTGTGTTTTGAGAAAAGGAAGTAGTCTTGGAGAAGAGGAGGCACGACTACTGTTAGGGTTTCGTCTAATTTTCATCAATTCTTCACTTCTTCATCAATTGGAGCATTGTAATGGCCAACATAAGTAGTTGACTTCATTCTTTTAGGATTCAGTGCACTTCCTTTGAACTCTTTTGTATCATGGTGATATTTTGAGATATTAATCTATGCTTTGATATTGTTATTCTTATCCTTTATGTTTTGGAATGATTTATTCTTTATGTTTAGGGTATGATTGGAAAATATATCTTGAACCCTAGATCACGGTAAGAACATTTGTTACGTTAATTACCAGGAATGAAATGAATGTATCGATTGCTTAAACACCCTAAACTTAATGCTGAAAAATCTCTTAATTGTGTGAGGAATCAACATTTATGAATTTCATGTATGAGGAATCAACATGGATGATTTGAGTAGGTGGCATCAACATTGTTAGGTTAATTGACGTTCTTAATTGACATAGTCATTACAAAAGAGGGATAAGGAAGGAAGTCAATCCTAAGTACCTTTAATTGATATTTTCTCAACAATTTACAATTCTTTGTCATTTAATTTCAATTCAACTCTTATTTGCAAAATTCAATCCGTTTAATCTACTTAGTAAGCATAATTGAGAATTTCTATTGAAACTGTTCCTCATGGGATCGACTTTTATTTAATCGAAATATTGTACTGCGATTGATAATTTTGGTACGCTTGCCAATAATCCAACAAGTATTTCTGGCACCGTTGCCGGGGAACGGTGTTCTTTGAAAATTCTTTGTTTAGCTTATTGAGTATTTTATTTTTATTTCTGTTTTTGTTTATTATTATTATTATTATTATTATTATTATTTAGTTTTTAGTTTGTGTTAATATCTGTTTGAGTTACTCTTTTGATTTATGCGTTTAAGAGGACAGGTATCTTCGGAGCGGTTAAAATTTAATCCATAGATTGAAAAAATAGCTCGGAGGAACCAGGGTAGAAGAAGAAGGGAAACTCAAGAACAAGCTACAAGAGAATCTGCTAACTCTTCTTCCACATTTGATTTACCAGACCCAATTATAGAAGATATGGTGGAAGAAGGAGCAAATCTGAATCCAAATGCAAATCCAAATGCAAATCCATCTGGAAGAACTCTTAGAAATTGTGCTATGCAGCAAGGTCCAAGACATTTTTTCAGCATTGTCATTCCGGATTATCATACATTGTAGATGAATTCAGCTTTCTTAAGCATGATTAGTGCTCATCAATTCACTGGATTGGATCATGAAGACCCTTATATTCATTTGTCTACTTTTTATGAGTTGATTGGTACCATGGGATTTAAAACAGCAAATCTTGAATCTGCATATTTGATATTATTTCCTTTTTCTTTGGTAGGTAGGGAAAAGGAGTGGTTGAAAGTACATCCTAATCAGAGTTTGACTAATTGGAGTAGTGTAGAAGAAAAGTTTCTGAATAGATATTTTCCACCATCCCGTTACATCAAGGCAAAATCTGACATCACTTCTTTCAGACAAGGAGCAGATGAACAATTTTGTGAAGCATGGGAGAAATTTAAATCACTATTGAGAAGTTGCCCAAATCATGGATTTGATGACGTTTCTCAGTTAAATATTTTCTATACTGGCTTGCGACATGATGCAAAGATGCTATTAGAGGTTGCAGCAGGAGGATCCATGTTGGATGTAGAAATTGATCATGCCACCAGAATTATTGATGCACTAGCCTTTACAGACCAACAGGCCCAACATGATAGACATCCAATTCAAAGGAAGGGAGTTCTTGAACTTAACAGCTTAGATGTTATCTTAGCCCAGAATAAACTTATAACGCAACAAATTGAAGCATTGAGCCAGAAAATAGAGAAATTACCTCAACAAATGCACACAGTACAATCTATTCATAATCAACATATGAGTTGTGACGTGTGTGGAAGTGATCATGCAAATGAACAATGCTCTTATCAAGGCAACATTCAACAAAAAGAAGCTAATTATATGGGGCCCAAGGTAGTAGTCAAGGCAAACAAGGTAATTTCCCTAATCCCAACAATTATCAGAATAATGTTGTGCAAGGATGAAGAGGGAATCAGAATCAGAATCAGAATTTTGGGTGGAATCAAGAAATTAGTTCATCTACTAGACAACCTACATTTCTACAACAGTCATTTCAACAACCTCCATATTAACAGCAGTAACAACATTATCCTTCAGTGCCTGATAGAATAAGTAAATTGGAGGATACTTTAGAAAAATTCATGCAAGGTACTATGGCTAATCAGAAAAATACTGAGGATACTTTAAAAAAATTCATGCAAGGCACTATGGCTAATCAGAAAAATACTGAGGCTTCATTCAGAAATATAGAGACCCAGATAGGCCAACTGGCTAAGCAATTATCTGAGCAGCAACAAGGAGGACAATTTCAGCTAACACACAAATGACCCCAGGGAGCAATACAATTCAATAACTACAAGGAGTGGTAAGGTTACAGGAGAAGGTATTGGTGACAATCTGGATGTAGAGAAGGAAATCCTAAAAGAAAAAGAAGATGAGTGTAAAAGAGAAAAATAAAAGTGAGAGTATAGGAAAAGAAAAAAATACTGAAAAAGAAGAAAAAATAAAAAGAGTGAGAAAAAGAGGGAGAAAGATGAGAGTCAAATACCACAATTAAAATATTTACCATATCCTCGTCATCCTTCCAAGAAAGATAAAGAAATACAGTTTGCAAGATTCATGGATATTTTCAAGCATTTACAGATTAATATCCCACTTATGGAAGCTATGGAGCAGATGCCGACATACGCCAAATTCATGAAAGAGCTCTTAACTAAGAAAAGAAGATTTACTGATGAAACAGTAGAGTTAGAAGCAGGATGCAGTGCTATATTCCAAAAATCATTGCCTCAAAAGTCCAAGGACCCTGGAATTTTCACTATACCAGTCACAATTGGTGAATTACCAGTGAAAAAATCATTGCTTGATTTAGGGGCCAGTATAAACCTCATGCCATTATCTATGCTCAAAAGAATAGGAGACTTGAAAGTAAAGCCTACAAGAATGACACTGCAGCTAGCTGACAGATCTCTAAATATTCCTTATGGAGTAGCAGAAGATGTTTTAGTTAGAGTGGATAAATTCATATTTCCTGTTGATTTTGTGATTATGGACATGGAGGAAAATGAGGAAGTTCCATTGATCCTAGGAAGGTCATTTATGAAAACTGCCAAAGTAATTATAGATGTTGACATGGGCAAGTTGAAAATTAGAAGTGGAGATGATGAAGTTAATTTTAATCTGTTTGAAGTTGTACAACAACCGGAAGACAAGAAAGATTGCCTTAGAATATATACTTTGGAGGAATTACCCATCTCAACTGAAAAACAAGATTACAAGTTTGTTGCACAACCCTAAAGACATCTTAGTCTGACTATGAAGGAAGTGATTCAAAGAGAGGTACTGAAACCTCCTGAAGCAGGTATGATTTATCCAATCTCTGACAGTCGTAAGGTTATTTGCAATGAAAAGAATAAATTCATTCCCACAAGGACAGTCAACGGATGGAGAATGCGTATATATCACCTTGATCACTCACCTGCATGAGCCCTAAAATAAATAGGCGTCGAGCTGAAGACGTTAAACAAGCGCTCCTAGGAGGCAACCCAATGTTTTGAATTTGTTGTTTTTCTTTTTGCAGTTTAAGTTTTTTGTGCATTTTTTTTCTTCCTTAGGTTCTTTCTTTGCAAGATTGCTCCAGGTACATAGTGCACTTCTCCTCAAGACTTTGAAGTCTTACTTCAATGGCCTGGGGACAGTCCAACTTTTCCGAAGGGGGTGAGAAAGTCTGCAGCTGAGGCTGAGACACAAGATAAGGAGTAGATGACAAGTGAAGAAAATAAGGGAGGAAACTTACTTTATTTTTAATGTTTTTAATTCCTTTGTTTTTAATTTAATATTTTTAATTTCTTTATTTTAAATTTTGAATTCCCTTGTTGTCCCATAATTTGTTTTAGAGCCATATATGAGATTATTGCTTATTGTCTAATTCAAATCTAGAACGTGAAAAATAATTTTAATGGTTTCCAATAACAAGTGATTTTGGGATATTGAGTATGATAGTGAAAAGGAATTGATGAGAAAAATTAGTAATTAACTGAATTGGAGAAACTAGCCAAAACCCAAGTGAGCAGAGTACCACAAACAGATAAATTGAGTGTCAACACTTTGTGACGATAACTGATATTGGTTGATTCTTTGATGTGATTACATGTTGGAAAGACTTGAAAATAATAAAGGCAATTTTTTTCTTTGTAGTAGATATAACCCAGAGCCAAATAGTCAACCCTGCATTAATTATAGGACATCCATTTGAACCCCTTCTGAGCCAAAAATAATATTGTTTCTTAAACATAACCCTTAAGTCTAAACATTATTTATCTACCTTCCTATATTTGAGAAAGGAAATAAGTATGAATGTCATTATTTTTCTTATTGTTGGGTATTGTTATTGTTGTTCTACGGGTATTACTGGGGTGTATTGTTAAAAAAAAGTGTAAAGAAAAAGGAAAAGCAAAGCTTAAAAAAATTGGCAAAGCAAAAAAAAAATACATGCAAAAGCATGAAAAAAAATATTTATTTATATAAATAATTCAAGGGGGAAATAATAACTTGTGAGATTATTAACTCATTGTCATTGTGTTAGGGACAAAAACATGAAGTTTGAAACCTGACTTGAGGAATAATCAAGAATCATTTATATGAGTTGAATTTCTCAAATATTTTTGTATATCCCAGAAAAACCAATAATTTTTTCTTAGCTCAGCCCCATTACAAGTCTCAAAAGACCTTTTGATTTAAGTCTTGTTTAACAATTGTTGATTGCTTGAAGATGATTATCAATATTGGATTGTCTAAATGAAGTGATTGAATGAGATAAACACTTACCTGTGAGAATTAGAGATGAGTATATATTACTCTTTTTGAGAGATCATGCTTCTCTGAGGATAGTTGAGGACTAATTATTCCTTATTGGTTTCTATAACTTGAATGCTTATGTGTTCTATTTTCATTTGGAGTTGTGAGCATCACCTCTGAAAATTTTTATGTGTGGTTCTGGAAGAGAAAGTGATAATAGGCGATGGTTTTGTTTTGGAAAAATTACTTTGCTTGGGACAAGCAAGATCCTAGGTTGGGGGAAGTTGTTAAGTGGTAAAAAGTTGATATAATTATGCCTTGAATTATTATGAAACCACTTAACTTATGTTAATTCTAATATATTTTTCTCCTAATATAAGATGAATTCGAGAATACCTTGATACAAGAGTAAGGAGCATAATTATCAGCATAATTTGAGTAAAATTAAAATAAAGAAGAACCCTTAAGGGAATGAAAGATGCGAGGCCCGACCCAAATTCTCTTATAAAAAGATAACTTGTGTTTTGAAAAAAAGAAGCAGTCTTGGAAAAGAGGAGACACGACTACTATTAGGGTTTCGTCTAATCTTCATCAATTCTTCACTTCTTCATCAATTGGAGCATTGTAATGGCCAACATGAGTGACTAACTTCATTCTTTTAGGATTCGATGCACTTCCTTTGAACTCTTTTGTATCATGGTGATATTTTGATATATTAATCTATGCTTTGATGTTGTTATTCTTATCCTTTATGCTTTGGAATGATTTATTCTTGATGTTTGGGGTATGATTGAAAAATATATCTTGAACCCTAGATCACGGTAAGAATATTTGTTACGTTAACTGTCAGGAATGGAATGAACGTATCAATTGCTTAAACACCCTAAACTTAATGCTGGAAAATCTCTTAATTGTGTGAGGAATCAACATTTATTAGGTTTTCTTATGAATTTCATGTGTGAGGAATCAACATGGATGATTTGAGTAGGTGGCATCAACATTGTTAGGTTAATTGACTTTCTTAATTGACATAGCCATTACAAAAGAGGGATAACAAAGGAAGTTAATCCTAAGTACTTTTAATTGATAATTTCTCAACAATTTACCGTTCTTTGTCATTTAATTTCAATTCAACTTTTATTTGTAAAACTCAATCTGTTTAATCTACTTAGTAAGTATAATTGGAAATTTTCATTGAAACTGTTATTCGTGGGATCGACTTTTATTTAATCGAAATATTATTCTTACGATTTATAATTTTGGTAAGCTTGCCAATACATGAAATAACGATGGAGGATTTATTTAGTTAACGTACAAAAAGAAGATTGACACCCACGGTTTTGAAGCTGTGAAGGAGGATGATTTTGCGGGGTTGGAGAGAGTGGACTCCCTCACCAAAAGGAAGGTTGGGTGGCCAGCTTTGGCACGCTTCCACCAGGAATTTTCCGGTGTAACCAGTGCCTCCGATGAACAGAATCTTGCTCTTGCTATTCCCTGCCATTCTTCACGTTTCTTCTCCTTGCAAAATACAAAGCTATTGTGTCCCACATCGATCATGCTAAATGTGTCCTTTTATGTAGCTTTTTTCCTTATTAGCTTCCAAAGATACTACTAATCAAAATAAATTTATGTTTTTATTGAATTTTTTTTTTTTTTATCATACAATAAAAAATATTTCATTTTTAGTTAACACCAATTCATGTTAAAAAATTTATGTAATATTTTGTATTTCTTTCTACAAAATAATTAGACAATAATCCAATGCTCTATTATTTTTATTTTGTTTTAATTACTTTCCTTTTTTTAAATCTTTATTCATGAAGTAAACAAAGCGTAAATCTGTAATAATACTTCCAATAAAAAGTATTTAAATCAAAAGAAAAACAATAATTGCGCACGCAAAATGATCACAAACAAAATCTAACAATAAAAATATAAGACACGTGCAGTTTTGTGTTTTAGTAGTATTGATGTTGACTTGCTAAAAATATCCATGCCAAAAGCAAATACGTTAAATATTAAAATTATAAAATTATTATATTAGTTTCCATATAGAAATCTTAAGTTTAATATTTGAGGTCATTCAGTTTTTGAATAAGAATTGATTGAAAATAAATATGAATAATTTATTATAGATTTTATATATGGGTGGGTTAAAATTTAGTTAGACATATTTATATAAATAATTTTTTTTAATATTTTTAAGTAAGAGACGTGATAAAATATTCCTTTATATTTATAAGAATTTTTGTCAGCAACTTTCAATTTTAATATGTGATGTTATGATATAATGATGACCTGTGACCTCAATCCACATCATCAACCATACATTGGATTCGGATTTTTCCACTATTTTGGATTTCTCTTGAGTTGAACGTGACTTTTTTCAAAAGATCTGGTTCAACTTTCACCCATTAACGTTTTCAGATTCATGTTTTTCCTTAAGCATTTTTATAATGCAATTGATTATTTATTTTAAAATAAGAGTGTGTTATTTGAAAAATAAAAACTTTTCATTCGACATTTCTTATATAAACACCATTATTTATTAATAAAAATGAATTTTCAAACATAGTGATATTGTACTGTGTAAATTTAAATAAATATCTGATTTGCACTCTATAATTGAGGCGGCTACATCATCAAGCATTCTTTCAAAAGTGAAACACACTTTGTATCATATCATATCATATCGTATGCAATGTTGTTGGATTCTAAATATAAAATATAACATATTTGTAACGAATTTATAGTAATATTAAATTTAGTTATAATTGTGATGTTTTGATAAAAATAATTGATGCAGGTGATAGCTAGAAAAGCATATAAATAAAATGAGAGAAGAAAATGTTTAAAAAAAGATGCAGTGTTAGTTTGGAAGTGAATTGGGATCTAAAAGAGGGTAGGAGTGTATGAATAGGCAGAGAAAAACAAGGGAGGGAGAGGGAAGTGGTTGAGATGGAGCCATTGATGGAAGATGAAGAATACAGGTGCGTAGAACTGAAACTTTCTTCTCTGATTCCGGTGGTGCCGGAGCCGGAGCTTGCGAGGGAAACAGGGGAAAGGAGAAGAGGAAGGGACATAATCATAGCCATCGATCATGGCCCCAACAGCAAACACGCTTTCGATTGGACTCTCATTCACTTTTCGAGGCTCGCTGATACTATCCATCTCGTTCACGCCGTTTCCGGTTTCGTTTTTTCATTTTCTTTTCTTTTTTTTCTCTTTTTTCCCTCTTAATTTTGGAATTTGGAAATAGATATTTACTGGGTTTTTTTTTTTTGGGACTTTCTTTTTTGCAGATTTGAGAAACCAAGTTGTTTATGACTCAAGCCAGGAGCTGATGGATAATTTAGCTGTTGAGGCTTTACAAATAGCAATGGTTAGCATCTCCTTTCATTTTCAGACATTGGTTTGAATCTTACGCTAGTTATACAAAATAACTGTCCATTTTGTTATTTACAAAACAATCTACGCTCGAGGTTGGCCACAGGTGTTGTTAAGAATCATCGCATGTCATATTCAAGGTTTTAAAATTCTGTGGCGACCGCAACTTCAAGGTTTTTATGACCCCAGTTGTTGTGTCTGCCTGTAATTCCATGCAATCTCAAGGTTTGGGACGAAACCAGAACTACAACCACAAGTTTAAAATCTTGGTCATATTATTGCAATCAACAGATGTGTGGATTCAAATTTTAGAGATTTCTGTTGAAGGCTGAATTTGGGTAATAGCTTGTGAATCAATTTGAGCCCAAACTTGGGGTAATATTTTACTTAAAGATGATTTTCATTCCAAGGTATAGCTGCTCGTATAAACGACTACAAAATGTGTTCTGCTAAATTGTCCCAAACACGTGAACCTGGGCCATTGGCATCTATTATCTAAGAAATTGAGCTTTCCTCAATACACTATGGTTCAAATTTGATGCTATTAATTGAAAAATCCTTTCTATCCATTATGGTATAACATGTAGTATTTTGAGATTTTATTATCTTTTCAAAGAGAAAAATTTATTGTATTATTATTTTGATTTAGTTAGTTATATTTTCACGATTACGAGTAGATTCATCATATTATATATCTCTCAATATATATCTCTTCGTATTCAAAATCTTAAATTCCACAGAAGATGCATTCCATCCAGCATTTTATTAGTTGAAAACAAGGAATTCTTGTGAATTCAATTTTATGATAGATCTCAATTGATGATCAACTTTTATCACAATGAAAATCGTCTTCCTCTGCTTATTCTTAATTGATAAGAAATAAATACAGGTGAAAACAGTAGCCAGGATTGTGGAAGGTGATCCGGGGAAAGTAATTTGCAAGGAAGCAGAAAGGATCAAACCTGCAGCTGTGGTTTTGGGGACCAGAGGCAGAGGCTTGATTCAAAGGTTTGATTTGACTCTCCTTCCATCTATCAGAATCATGCAGTTATCATTGAACTGAATCATCTTGTGATTTTCATCAGTGTACTACAGGGAAGTGTTGGGAGTTACTGTTTTCACCACTGTAAAGCAGCACCTATTGTGATTGTTCCTGGAAAAGGTGGGCCTTCGTTGCCTTACTCATTTTTTTCAACATTTTCTTACAGCTGAGTTTTTAAGAACTTTCATTTCTTTGATCCACAGATGCTGGAGAGAAGTCAATAATCTAGTCACTAGTGGAATTAAGTTGTACAAGACTGTTTTCTTTATCGCCTTTGTTTTACCCTGTATCTAACATCAAATACCAGCGTGGAGATTGTTCCTAATTCAATAGAACAAGAGAAAACAGCATCATATCCTGTGGTTTGTCTTGTCATTTTACTTATTATTTTCTGGAAAGTAACCATTGATCGGTTGCTTATGTTCCCATTTTGGAAAATCTCTACCTGTAACTTTTAAGGTGTCATGTTAACTTATGATATTAATATATTTTCGCAAGTTCTGTATTGGTTTTAAACTTAACGGCTTATTCTGTCAAAAATAAAATGTAAAAAAAAAAAACTGATTGAGAAAAAAATACCTAAAAACAGATATTATTGAAAAAAAAATACCAAAATATAATAAAATGGGTATATGTTGAATATTAGAGAGGTATATTTAACAAATGCCTTTTCTCATCACTATGATCTAGTTAAAAGCCCAAACAAATTGGGTTCAGAATTGCCATAAAGACTATTTGAGGAGCATTTTATTTTTAGTTTAGTGTTGTCCCTTATGTGGCTTATGGGCTTATGTCTTTCAGAATACGAAATTCACCAGTTCTTTTTTTATTTTATTTTAACCAATAAAAAGTTATCTTATAAGACGGATGCTTAAGAGATAGGAAATTAAAAAAAAATAAAGAATATTCATAAAATATTTAATTATAATTGAGATATATATATTTTATTTTGAAAACTTAAAAAGTAAAATTTAAAATGAAAATATTTTAAATTATAAAAGTCTTGGACTTACAAGCATGTTTATCATGGCTTCAAAAATGCGATTAAATTCTTAATTTTTTGTTAAAAAATCTAATAACATTAAAATGAATCCTAATATCTAACGAATTAAAACTAATTATAATTTTATCTAAGTTTGGGCCAAACATGGTTCTAAATAAAGAAAAGATAAGATGATTTCAACTACATGCACCGAAAAAGGTTCGCATATAAAGCAACTATCACTTTCCACTTTTTTTTCCTATTATTTTATTTTATAAATCAAGCATTCTCCAAATGTACTAAAATTCAGAACAGAATAACTTGTAATTTAAAAAAAATGCAACTTTGGTGAAGAAAGATTTGTGAATAAATAAAATGAATACTCAAATTTATTATTTATTAGTGAATATTGTCTATTTATTATTTAAGAAAAATATTAAATTATTTTTTCTTTTATTTTTTCTTGATTCGATTCATTAAGTAAAACGTACGAACATTTGGGGACTTGCATATTATTATTCATTCATTAATGCTTTCTGTTTTTAAAAGAAAGTGGTTGAATCTTGTTGAATTTGGTAAATTTCATCATATAATATCATTTAAATAAATAAATAAATAAAATTTAAGGGGAAAATGAATAATAATTTTTGAAAACCATTTAATAATATATAAACCATAATATAGAATTTGATAAGAAAGAAGAACATATAATCACCTACATATGTTCCTGACTATGAAATCCATTATACTATGTAGGGGTAAATGAAAATTCCAAAGATCTAATTCACTTGAGATTGAATAGATTGTTGTAAATTTAGGAGTATGAATTAGCGGGAATGATAAAAAAACATGATATCCAAAAGGGTATTTTAGAATGATAAATGGAGAAAGAATGTGATATAGGGGAAGTGGTTAGGAAATGGAATTGTTTGGAAGAAGAAGGAGACAGAAAGATGTTGATTTAGGGTTTGAAAGTTTGACAATAATATTTTGGAGAGGGAATCTTTGTGGGTTTTGGTTAGCCTTTATAAGGTTGGAAGTGGTGAAGGGCTTCCCATGTGAGTGAAAGGGCAGAGAGTGAGACAGAAGAAGAGAAACAGTGAAGAGGGACCACTGAAAGCAAATTCCTATATCATCTCTCCCTATCCGCAGGAACAAAGAATCAACAAAATCTTTGCTATGAATGAGACACCTCCACCATTGTCACCGTTATATACATCCCTTGAAAGTGAACTATACCTTAGCCTCTAGTCCCTCCAAGATAAACAAAATGAAAAAAACCAGTCCCCGATGCAACCAAACATTGACAAGTTCCTTTCATGCAAATTAAGATAAGACATCAAACTAGGCCTTAATTATTTGGATTTTGGACAGGTATATGAATCAGAGTGTAAGCAATTGAGCAAATCAAACGAAGAAATGGTAAGATATCTTTGCCTTTTGGGGTGAGTGTCCTTTGTCAATACTGTTCTAAACATCAGAAAACTGGGGTGACCATGCACCCTTTTAACCATGGACACGTGAGTATTTTGATCGAAGTGAATGACAATTCCTTGGAGTACTTGAGAGACAAAAGACCATTGTAATAAATTGAAGAGATGGAAATGTTTGGCCCTCCCCCTCTTCTCCACCCCATCATTCTGTGGCCTAGCTATCACTGTCCCAATCAAGAGGCCCTTATTCTGTCCCCAAAGGCTGCTTTGTGAAGGTCCACTATCAACCTCATGTCTTCCATCTTTTCTGTTTTCATTCTGCTTCTTCACCTAACTAAATGGGATGCCCAAGTAACACTTACTTGAATCGAGTTTTCATCTAGTTCCTCAAGAGTCATCATATCTTAGTTTAACACCATCTTCTTCATTCATTCTGCCAAAGTAGATTTAATAGGAATACATTTAAGCAATAGTTGTAAAATATGTGTTCGAGTGAGCTTTATAAAATTGGTGTTATGACAAAATTGATTTTGAAGTTAAGTCATGTAATTTATGTTTCAGAGTCTACTTGGTGATATATTGTTTGTTACCTGTTGACGTTGACATAAGAAAAGGAAATAGATAGATATGTTCGTTTTTAATATCAACCTGTATTCCTAATTTAATAATTTCTTTTAAATTGCATATTAGGCATAACATGACATCCCAACTAAAAATCATTTGCCACATCCAAAAAAATATATAAAGAAAATTTAAGTATAAATTTTTTTATCCAAATAAAAGTTATTAAAAGTTGTTTCTCAATTCAAATATATTATAAATCCATATTTAATTTTTTAACTTAAAACCCATTCAACACGTGATTAAAATCATTTTAATTAAGATAACCTGATTAAATCGTTTTTTAGCTTGATTAAACACCCACGAAATCTGATGCTCATGTTACTGGCTGCATAAGCTTCCGCTTAACCAAAATTTCTTAAAAGTTATCAATGAGAAATCCAGATTAAAACCCTTATGCAAATTGATTAGAATTTCGGTCCCATATAATGTTTTTTTTTTTTTCTTTCTTTCTTTCTTCCGTTGGCTATATTATGATTTGAGCGTGCAGAAGAAGGTGACTGAAGTTAACAGGTATTAATAAATTTTATTTATATTATGGAGCAGTTACAAACAATTGATATATGCTATGTACTTGAAAAGAAAACAAAAAGAATCTTGGTAAGTTGCAGAAGGAAATAGAAGCTCTAGTCTACATCTCCATCTTTAGATGATTGCCAGCTTCAACCAGACCTGCAGAGATGTCAAAAACAACTTTTTCAGAATTTATATCGAATACTCTGGTGTAACTACTTGGAAAGTGGGTAAATATTTCAAGTGGTCTCAAAAAGAAAGATTGTGAAATGACAAGCAGAGACAGGTCCAATTTGCAATCCCCTAGGCTAAGATGTCCTCAAGAAAACGATTGATCCTGGTCCTGCCCTATTCATCCAAGTTGCCTGATAAGAACTTATTTGCCAAAAGGGAAGCTTGCTTCATCTTCAATATTATCCATTTTATTTTACTGAATAACCTAGTTTCTTATCATTTTGTCATGTGGTTAATGCCTTCTCCTGCTCAGTGAGTAAAGATTAGAGAAAGAAAAGAAGAAGCACATAAAAGAAAACTTGTTGAATAATTGAATGATTAAACAGATCGTTTTAAAAGTTTTCTTTATTTTGATTAAAGAAAAAGGTCTCAACATTTATATGCTGTTATCAACATCAGTGGGGCTTAATGTCTCCATCATGTATTAAAATCCACTCCGTGTAGCTTTCTACTTTCTGCTTTTAAGATAGCAGGCTAAGGAAAAAGAGATCCCACACGGCACAAATTTATAGTTACCTGAGAACAGATGAGAAGGGAAAGATGTGGCTCGCACTTGATCAAAATCCAAATTGCAAAGGTTTTGGAAATCACTTTCTTCCCATGTTGAAGAGGGTAGCATTTGCTGCAGCACAAGTGAATGAGATCAAGTTGAGGAAATTGAGCAATATAACAAGGGATAGGTAAAGAGAGGGTAAACCTACTGTGAAACATGACGAGTGAAGATATGTTTCAGGCCCTGATACATGGGCACTCATAGTCCTTTTTAGGTCTATATCGGAAGGGTTAATCCCCGTGTCTAATCCTCCATACGAAACCATTTGTTGTGGTGGTAAATTAAATTGAAGATAGGCAGGGTTAGACATATCTGATGACATTCCAATGTTTGGAAAATTCGCAGCACAAGCAGGAAACCCCTACAGGATCAATTCAAATATTTCAGAAGCAAAAAACACAATTAAGACATAAGAAAATCAGAAACTGCATAATATTCCTTACTTCTTTTTCAAAGAGATCATCAATACTGAAGTCAAGCCTCGGGTTCACAGCAGCTAATTTCATTGACAGAAACTGCATATAGTGATCATATATATACATAATAAGTATTTGATATCCACGCAAATGAAATGGGGTTGACATGAATTTCGGATAGATCAATGTCGAAGAAAAAGAGGAGATGCACCTAACTCTTACCTCAACCTGTCTTTGAAGAGATTGAACATAGTTGATGATTTCATCAAGCATTCCAGCTTTTCCCGTGATTTTGTTGCAACCGGGTACTAAATCTTGCAAATACTTCATTCTCTCACTAATTTTTTCCCTTCTTACCTGCGTAGAAAGTTGAAATACAATGCTTACTTCAAAATCCTAGAAGCAAAATCTAGACAAAGAGAAATACACTGAATCCTGACGTAGAAAATTATAAAAAGATATTAATTATTACTCACTCTTTCAGCCAAGCTATGGCTATCGGTGGCTTGGCCACGACGCGCGCGGACATGAATATAATCAAGCTTTTGATTTTGGACCTCGGAGGCTTTGGAATTTTGCTTTGAATTTGAAGTATCTGCACAAGTTTCTCTTCTGTTGCTATTAGTGTTTGTTGTGATACTGTTGGGGCTCCCTGTGATCTTGGATTCTCCATCGTCGTCGACGCCCACTTTGATCCTCTTGTGTTTCATATCATTTTCTGAAAGAAACTAAACAAAAACTCTAACTGTCAGTTTAGCCAATTATAACAAAACAACGCTCGTAGAATGCACAACATGTTCTCTTCTCTCTTCTCTGTTCACACACCTTAGCATTGTGAGGCTTGTCGGGTTTCCTTTTCTTGAAACGCTCTTTCCCAATTGAGGAGTCTGTGGGTCTGGGCTCGGGCTCGGGGTCCACCAAAGCAGGTGGACAACTAAAAGTCCTTGAAATTGAAGAACTTGCACCAAACCCAGGAACGGATGGCTTATTCATCGAGCGAGCCTGAGCCTGAGCCTGAGCCACCACTTCACCAAGTGCACAACCGGAATCAGCAGGGAGCATGAAGGAATCTTGTGGATGAAGAGAAGAAGAGAAAAGACCGTTGAACCCAGGAAAGTACCCTTGCTCTTCTTGCAACTTCATCCTCGCCCTCTGTCTTTCCAACACTGTCATGTCCCCAGCCATATTCCCGTTCGTGTAAGCACAGTGCATCATTCTTTTCTTTTTTAAGGTTGATTAGAATTAGGAAATACGTAACAGTCACAGGTTCTTGCAGAATGCGAAGTGGAGTAGAACTAAGGTTGTTAAGGCTGAAGCGGAAAAAGGATAGGGTATATATAAAGTGGTGGAACAATGTAAGTAACGAGAAAGAACGAAAAATGAAAAAGGTTGAGGGTGAATTAATTGAAGAGAGACAAGGAGAGGATTAGATTAGAAAAGGATCCAGTGGGCAATGGACCCTAATGGCATGACCGCCACGTGGGCCTGTCTCACCCCCTCTCCAACGCTCTCCTCCTTCCTCCACTCTACTTAACACTAATCACCAATATTTTTTGTCTTCATCCATCCATGTGGGATTCTTTGATGCGGTAATTAGATTATATGACCTCTTCTTTGTTAATTTATGAACCGGAACACAAAATTTGCAACACTCCTCTCTCTAAGACACGTGAACATCACTCACTCGCAATGATATTTGAAGGTACAGAGCACAGTACCTTAATGATTAGAAGGTGAAGATTCTTACACTCTTGTTAGTCCGTTCCAAAAATAGAAAACCCCGTTGAAATGAAGATGATGATCTCGATTCAACCTTATTACCACCTAAGCTTCTAAACCAGCCCCACCTCCTACGGAACCAATTCAAAATACCCTTTTTGTGGATGCAGTCGATACTCTAAATCCACTTCTTCAACTTGGCGTGCCATTTGCAGGTTGAAGCAACACTGGAAGCAAGACAAGCTCCAGTATTAGTTAATGGGTATTTGGATGACGTTCAGAGGTATACATGCCATGATCACCACCCAAAATCAAACCAGAGAAAATATTTTACCTTTAGTCGCTGCAACTCCCAAGTTCCTTCACACTATGATTATATTATAAATTAAACAATGAGTATATCATAACAAAGTAATAGCTTATAAAATTATTAAGTACTTATCATCCTTGCTTTTGTTTCATCATCTTGTGGCCCACACATCTCTGGCTCTATAATATTTAATTTTTTTGTTAGAATGTGTGATTTGCCTGTATCCGAAAAAGGACATGTGTAATTTTAGTTTCTAACACCTTTGAGTTGGATCACGCTTCTTTTAGATTTTGTTCATCTCTTTTGTAATTTTTTATTTCAGGAATTTTTTAGAATATCCTCAAATACTAAATGTGGCATTATTTTCATTAAAGACAGGTGTTTGTTTAAATAAATTATTAAATGAAGAAAATAAAAATAACAAAGTAAAATTAGTTTAATTATTTGTAATGGCTTCTAGAAAAATTAATTCAGAGAATTTTATCTTGACCCAAAAGTTAAAGATTTTCAACACATTATGTTTGTAATAAACTGAAAATTTTTCAACATTTCAAATTATCTTTTATTTTTATCAAACAATGCGTGAACAATATATAAATTCAATAGATTTATTAATAGTTAATAGGATGAAATTTAATAACATGTAGAAGTTTAAACTTAAACTTAATCCAATGATATAATTACAAATGAAATAATGATGATACCTTACTCTGCTACACTGCGAGGTGAGTGTTAGAGGTGTGTTTTTGTCTTTGTTCCTTTCCTTTCTCTTTTTTCGATTTTCCATTTTGTACTGTCGGTAGAGAGAATCTGATGCTGTATTTTGTTCGAACCAATCACGCAAATTAAATCCCCAAGATTAATAATTGGGTTCGGGAAGTTCTTCTTATCTTATCTGATATATATGTATATATGTATGAACCAAATTAATAATTGGGAATGTGGCAACTCAGAACAGCACCAGATCCAATGTATCGGAAACTAATCTTTTCAGAGTCATAATAATAATAATAATATAACTATAACAGATGTTATATTTCGTAGCCAGAGAAAGGAGAATCAAGTTGCAGAATGAATTTTCTGATGCAACAATTCTTCTGCGTTTATCTATTTTTTAAGAAACAACAAATAATTTGTTTTCTTTAAAGGTAAAGGAAAAAGATTGAGTCTCTTACTCTTTTCAAGTTCCAACCTCCTGTGACGTTGGAATCCACCTTTTAAATTCGCAATGAAAGTTTCTCAGTATTCTCATGCTAGCCAGCGGCACATGCATTGCATATTGAATATAATTATCTTACATTTTATATTCATAAAAGAAAAAAATATGACATACTCTACTTAATTTCATGGCGGCATATATGTAACTGGTATAGTTTTCTTTTTGGCTTAAAGATGGATTTACTTTTTAACAAATTTTTAAATTTCGTTTTTACTTATTTTTAGTATATTGGTTTTAGTTTCTAAATATTTTGAAATATCTACATTTTTTGTTTCTGTATCCATAAAATGTTAGTTCTAGAAGATTGCATGGTGTGAAAATTTAAAGGTTTGTCACCATTAAAAGACAGTATTACTGGTATAGACTGAGTAACTCAAGTCTCTATTAGCTCTATAGTGGATGCTCAATTTGTTTTTATTTTAAATACTTGTTAATCATCATTGAGGGTATGTATGAGTACTGTTCCAATATGAAATTTGTGGTTACTTAACAGACCAGCAAACAATCTAGCTGATAGACCATGCATAAGCACTATTATTTCTCTCGTACACTCCAAATTTCATCTCATTATATTCCTTTTGTTTTGATTTTCTTCGTTTTCAAACATTGTACATGTGCTGGATCTGTCAGTGACATAATATAGCTGTGGATGGTTTATATTTAAGATCACTTTTATTTTCAAAAGAGACATTGTTCTAAGAAAAAGAAAAATCAAATACATAATATCTGTTCCTTTGAGGTCAAATCCTAGAAGAATTCCCACATGGCTTCCTAAAGTCATTTCGTGGGTATATTATTTACTGATGTCTTGTGCTGATTTCACCTCTCTGCGTTGCCAATTCTGTTTGTGTTTCAAAATACATTCTATGTTCTGTTGGACTACAGACTGATACTACCATGCACCTTTGAACTTTACCCTTGAAGGTTTGACCATTTTGAACGCTGAGTTTTTTTATTAAGATATATATATATATATATATATATATATATATATATATATATATATATATATATATATATATATATATATATATACACCTCACTTCAACGGTTTAGATATGGAGTCTGAACTACATTCAAACTATATTTTGTGCTCAATGCGGACCCTAGCTAGCCATCAAGCCTACTTCTGACAACATATTTCATACTTTTGCTCTCTATTGCAGCCTCAATAATATTCGATTGTGGACGAAATAAAGTTTTTATTGAAGCTTTTTGACCGTAATGGAAAATATGCAGAACTGACTATAATTATACTAGTAGTTAAAAATAATTCACAACTTAAGCAGTGGAAAACATACCCAACTTACAATTGCTAACAGTACTGCTGCAGCTGCAAGGTGATATATCTGTTTCGCTTGTCAGCTATCTGGGAGAAGATGAAGTTCAACAAAAGCTCTTCTTATACAAAAGAATAATAAACTTGAGCTTCTCCAGTAAAAGTTAAAATAACTTATAGTTTCTTTAAAACGTTATTCTTAACTTGCGTATATAAGTAATTTTTAGATAAGAAAAGTTTGTATTATTATTTTTTTATTACAAATATTTATAGAGACATTTATATAAACATAACTTAAAAAGATAAAAGCAGTCGCCATTGTTCACAAAAAATGCTATGCACAAATGCATGTATGAGAAGAAACTGTCCTACATGCAGTAATAATGTCATGATGGTGACAAGATGCAACGAGCCTCGCATGTTCTTACTTACTTTCCAGAGCATTTCCTCATCTGACCAAGTTCGGTGCACATGAAAATTTCTCAAGTGAACTAGTGTTTTGGACAGACACATTCCAAAGCTATGAATTTCTTCAACCCTTTTAACTGATGCCTACATAGGCCTGTATAATATACATAGCACATTCATCTCCCTGTTAGAGTCCAAGTATTATTCCAAATTACCCAGGAATGCTGGTCTTCACAGTGAATCAATATATTCTTAAGCAGCTTTAAATTCATAGGTGGAGCCTTAAGTGAGAGACAGACAGTGCTATTCCAAATCATACCAACTACTAGTTCCTTAATTGACAAGGCAGTTCTCATCTAAACGTCCTCAAAATTCATCCTTCATGCAGGTTTTCTGCATAGTATCCACCAACAACTCTGATATTTTAGTTTTAGATCGAGTGATCCTATCATCATCCAATGACTTTAATGATGCTCCCAAAATTATATACATTAAGAAGGAAGCCCATATAGGTTGAAAACGTGATGGGAGAAAAAAAATTGGGATGTGAATGGATAAAGAGAGGCAATATCACATGAAGAGGTTTTGGAACAATCACTACGAACAAAGACACAAAAAGACTTAGACAATACTACAATTTAATTTGCTTGAAAAATATAGAATTTTGGAGTCAGCAAAGAGAGGGACTATTGAGAAGATTATGGAGTACAGACAAATGTGACTGGGAGGAGAGAGACCATGAGATCTCAAGCCGTGTCTACAGTATCTATACATGCTGCATGTAATTCACAAAGCATATGGGTTTGTTCCTTTTTCTTGTAGACACTAAACTACCTCGTGTTATTGTATGCTCTGGTTGTTTTGTGTGCAACAATGTACTATATGTATTTGTGTTCCCCTCCTAATCCTTTGTGTACCTACTAAAGATAAAGATAATATATATAGTTCCCTATACCACACTCTCTTTCTCTCTCCCTGAATACACAGATCAACAATCAATTTGTTTGATGATTATCTGCTACATTCTTTATTAGCAAGTGGCAATACTAAACCAGCAAGTAGCAGACAGATACTTTTTTTTCCCATATTCTAATGTTCTGAAATGGGAAAAAAAAGAGATGGAACGCCATCAAGATTCATCAAATACTGGTCAACTATCATAATCAAATACAAATGTTTCTCTCTTCAGATCATTCTTCACTACTACAAAATATGTTTTCAACGTCGTCATTTAACGTCGGTTAAAGCTGAGCCGACGTTAAATACACTTTCAACGTCGGTTGGTTAAAAAACGACGTTGAAAGTTGAATGTTGGACACTTTCAACGTCGGTTCCAAGTCAACCGACGTAGAAAGTACATTCAACGTCGGTTCTAGATGAACCGACGTTGAAAGTCTTTGTATGGACACTTTTAACGTCGGTTCCAGATGAACCGACGTTGAATGTGTCTTAAGTTAGAGAATTGTCATCGACAGAGTTCAAACCCGATACTTTAGAGTTGAAAGTTGTTACTCCAACCACTAAACTACTGTAATTTTCCGATAATAACTTACAAATTAATTATATTTATATACAAATAAATATATATTACGTGTAAATATATATTTATTTATATTTTCCGGAAAGTGATTTTATTTTTTTCGACCAAAAATTCACTTAAGTTAGAGAATCATCACTGACGGGATTCGAACCCAGTATCTTAGAATTGAAAGTTAATACTCCAACCACTAAACTACTATAATTTTTTGATAATAACTTACAAATAAATTATATTTATATACAAATAAATATCCGTGTAAATATATATTTATTTATATATATTTTCTGGAAAGTGTTTTTATTTTTTTCAGTAAAAAATTCACTTAAGTTAGAGAATTGTCATCGATAGGATTCGAATATAGTATTTTATAGAGTTGAAAATTTATACTCCAACCACTAAACTACTATAATTTTTTGATAATAATTTACAAATAAATTATATTTATATACAAATAAATATATATATCCAGTGTAAATATATAAATATAGAATATATAAATACAAATATATTTATATATTTTGATATATTTATATATTTTTATGTTGGATGTGAGGGTGCGATCGAGGGTGAAAGTGAGATTGACTCTCCCTTAAGTGAAAATACGTTAAAGCTCACGAAATTCACTCGTTCAAGCCTAGCTTGAGCGAAAATTGGTATTTTTCGCTTGAGCGAATGTGTCACTTGAGCGAATGATGCATTTCCCAAATTTATTTTATATCATTATATAAATAAATTATAAATATTATATTACTGTCATTAAATTACAAACCCATATAAAGAGACTCGCTCACAAATTTGGCATCAAATTTTGAAAACCCACTCGACACACACTTTCACCTTCGAGCGTGCCCTCACATCCAATATATAAATATATAATTATTTAAATATATCAAAATATATAAATATATTTGTATTTATATATTTACACGGATATATATTTATTTGTATATAAATATAATTTATTTGTAAGTTACTTATCAAAAAATTCGAGTAGTTTAGTGGTTGGAGTATCGACCTCCAACACTAAGGTACTTGGGTTCGAATCTTGTCGATGACAAAAAAATAATTTGGTAATGCTTTAAACTTTAAAAAAATATGATAAATAATAAAAATATAATATAAAAGAGAAGGGGGATTTCTAGATAAATAGAGGGGTTGGAAAGTTATCAACGTCGCCGATACAACGTCGGCTTGAAGCCGAGCGTTGAAGGCCTTATTTATAGTAGTGCTTTAATTAATCTCCTCACATTATGTTGGTTGTAATTTCGTTTTCCTTTCATTCTCATTTTCTACACCATGTGCCTTTGCCATACATAAATAATATATTTGAAAATATTTTAAGAATACAATACATAAGTGAATTAGAATAAAATCTAAGGTCTCCATTCTTAAAAGATTGCTACAATTCTTAAAGTAATGTTTATCACCCTCTAATAGTGACATGCTATTTTCATAGTAGAAACATTCTTGTATCCCACTATATTTGCAAGTTAACATAGAATTCTACCCAAGAAAAATTGAATCAAATTGTATTAATTGAATTTAATTGCATACAAAATATTGAACTAGTTTTAAAGAAATTAAATGAATTATATATAAGATTGAAATATTATATATATATATATATATATATATATATATATATATTAAACTAAGATATTTCTTGATAATAATTTAAGGAGCTAAAATGTAAGTCAACCCAAAACTTTAAAAATAATAATTAATTTAAATAATTTAAAAGGTTAAAAAATAATCAATCTAAAATTTTAAGATTAATACTTATAAACTTTTTCTGGTTTTTATATTATATTATATTATATTATATTATATATATATATATATATATATATATATATATATATATATATATATATATAACAGGGATTCACATCACTTTCAAATGTAAAAACTATTTTAAAATGTAAAGATTGTAACTATTTACATTGTATTTATTGCCATTAAATATATTTTTAAACTAGTCATTAAATCATATTCTAAAATTAGTAATAAAGGTTTTAATTATTTTAAATTTTAATTTTAATTTAATCTATAACTAATCTAGTAACTAGTTCATTAAACTTAAAAACTATTAATTTGATTTTTAAAAATATTTTTTCTTTATAATAAGAAATATAAAAATTACAATTTCTAAAATGTTTTAATTCACACCTTTAACATTTAAAAGATCAAAATTACACCATTATAATATCCTAAAGACCAAATATCAGTTGGATAAAAAAAATGAAACCTTTTAAAATGTATTATTTGAATTAACTTTTATATAAACAAATGAAATAAAATCTAATTAAAAAAAATGTGAAAAAGTGGCCTGTGAATTAAGCATGGGTACAACCCAAGTCTAGGCCCAGCTTGTTTCGAACAGTTATTGACACTTACCAACACCCTAAATTTTTTAAGGACTCAACACAATAAAGTTTGAAATAATAGTAGCAATTTAAATAATTAAATAACAGTTTCATTAAAATAAATTTAATATGCACTTTATTGATATGAAAAATGATTTAAAGTGATTTCAGTTCTTACTGTCATTTTAAATTATTTTTAAATTAAAAGTAGTCAGTTTTTATTTGAAGTTGCTTATTTACAAGACTAAAAAAAATAATTAATTGTATTATTAATTAAAATTAAAATGATAAAATTATTAGATTATAAAAGTGTATCAGTAAACTTAAAATTTCAAAAATAAAATACAAATATATATATTAGATCAAATTGTATATAATTATTGTCTAAAAGCTAAATCGGTCCAACAAACTTATCCAAACCCTTATAAAGTAAAAATATAAGATTCAAAATTTTTACATCCTCAAGTCTCTTTTACCCCAGTCCAGTTGAATAGAAAAAGTTATTGAGTTGCTTAATGAAAAGAAAAAAAAAAAAAGTTAGAATGAGATGAATGATATTCAAATAAAGTAAACTTGTGATTGGAAACATTATATTTAATCTTTGTCAAATTATCTATACAATGATAATTTATTGATTAATTATAATTTCGTGTGAAAAAATGTTAAAAACTTACAAGAATGTGCTTTTTTTTTTTAGTGAAATTATTTTATGATTTGGGGAAACCTTATCTTCTAACAAACAAACGTGTGAGGGTTACCATGCAATTTAGATAGTGACAAACAATTTTATTTTGTTGTACAATAATTAGTATTAATGGATAATCAAAAGAAGGCTAAATAATCAATTATAGACTAGGTTGTTGTGTAATAGCTTAGAAGAAATTTGCAATAAAAACATGACAACAACAATTCCCTTTCATCTCATTAAACGTAGCTACAAATTTGAAATTTTGTAAATCTGATCAAAATATTCGGATGCAGACTTTTTAAGGTAAATGAAGACCCAACAAGTCTATGTTTTTGTTCAGCTCTATTTTATGGTTTAATTTTGTTGTTTCTGTGCACGCAACTAAACGAGATTATGCTAAAAAGATTAGTTGTTAGCAAACTCAAGTGATCATAATTCTGTCAAGTTGATTACAGAATGAATATTTGGCCTAGTTGAAGAAAGATGTAAAATTGCTTAGAAAAAAAAAAAACTTTGATCCATTTATAGAACATAATTATGGAAAACACGTTAGCCAAGGGGAACAACTTTATTTAGAATGAATGAGAGAAAAGAAAGGTGAATATGGAAAAAGATATGAAATTTGGAACCAGATTCATTAGAGACCCGATTCCCCTGTTTGGCATGTAGTTGTACCTTGTCGTGCTTAATTTAGTGGTTATAAGACAGAAACTTCTGGCAACTGAGATTCGGTGATGAGTGAGTTACAACCCATTAGGCCTGAAGCTGAAGCCATTTTATTTAAATGTGAAGGACCACACAACTTTGATGCTCAAGCTATCTCTTCCAACTTGTTTGTTTCTTGGCCATATGCTATGGCCTCAAGCACTTTCACCGAGCAAAAGCCTTGTGATTCGCGTTGTTGGACCCCGAAACAGAACAAGGTGTTTGAAAAGGCACTTGCAAAGTATGACAAGGATACCCCTGAGCGCTGGCACAATGTAGCGAAAGCCGTTGGTGGTAAAACAACAACAGAGGATGTTAAGAGACACTATGACATACTCTTGGAAGATCTCAGACACATAGAGTCTGGTCGGATTCCCATTCCCAATTACAAATCCACTTCATTCACCTTTCCTCTTTTGAAAAACTCAGGTAAATTGATTACTCAGCAACCCCACGGTCAGTTTTCATCTTGATGTGTACTTACTTGTTGGTGAGATTGTTTGATTTTTTTTCTTATTTGTTTTGCACCAGATCTCTCAAGTATCTAAAGCTGAAAATGATTGAAGTAATGGTTAAGTCGTCGTGACCCGTGCAATGTACTATGAAATGAACGTCTATACCTTTCTCTTTCACCATCTTTCTACTCCTTTCCTATAATTGTAATTTGGGTTATTTTACTCACCTACCCTATCTTATCTTAGAACATATATTGGTGATACTTAATTAAACTGTTAATTATTCCAATCAGTGGAGAAATTTTATAAATTACTTTTTTATAATTATTGTTGAATAAATTTTAAAAATAAACAAAACAAAATAATTGAAAAGAAAAAATAAATTCTTTAAAATTTATTAAAAAAATTTATTAAAGTAAAATCCATGAGTTGTTTCAGCATGATCATGATGTAATATAATAAATTCATATTTTACAATTTTTTTAAGATAAGAAATAATTTATATAAATTTTATATAATTATAAGTCAATTATAATATCTTTTTTCTTCCTCTTCTATGACTTTTTTTAATAAATATTTATTCCAAAATTATATACAATTTAAAATGGTTTTAAAATAGGTAAGTACTTTTTTATTAATTTACTTTTATAGAAAATAACGTATTAAAGCTTGAACTGTGTTAAATGGAGATTTTAAATCATTCTCTAAGAAGATTAAAACTGGTTCAACTCCTACCTCTCTGTGGGGGGACAAAACTCATAATATATTATTGCTAATAATACATTTTTGGGTCAGCTACTTGCTTTATAAGTAGCAAGGTGTAGAATTTTGATTGAATATGTTCTTGGTCTGCAAAAGACAAGAAAGAAAATTTATTGATTGATTATAATTAAAGCACTAATAAACAGACAATATAATATTGACACACTTGGTGGTGGTGGAATAACCAATGCAATTGTAGAGGCGGTTGCATTCACCAATAGCCACCACGTTCATTTCTTCTAAAAGTATTACTCCCAGCGGAATTAGATATTAATCAATGTATCTTCACTACCCCATTATCCATGATAACTTCCAATTTCAAAATTAAAAATTTGATCAATTCTATATAAAGAATTTGTTACTCCAAATCTTGTTAAAGATGAAAACATAGAATTAGTTGAATGAATTTTGCTATTAGAATTGCTATTTACTCGAATAATTAAATGAAGTAGAATATTAGTATACAATAAACACAGGCTAGAAGCCTGCTAGGAGCTTCTCTATTACCTAAAAGTAGTACTTGGATGAATTAAAATTCTGAGTAACTTTTTTAAGTTTATTCAACTTCAAATTTTCATAAAGATCTTCCATTTTATATTTCTTCTAACAATTTTAACAGATTTGCACATCACTGCTGAGTTACGTAAGTAAAGAAAAAAGTTATTTGCCATTCAACTTATATATCAATCTTTTTTCAATCAAATTATACCACGTCAAGTCCAAATCAAGAATCTAATTAACCCCAAAACTTAAAGACCTGAATCATAACCTGTGTCAATTACCAAAAAGAGGATATTTGATGAGATAGTTGGAGATTAACCCAAAGCGTTGCGTTTCAACGCGCTTAGAAAGAAAAAGGAGGGTGTCTCCGTCTTGCTAACAAGGCTGAAATTAAACAATTGCAAGTGGGAGGGGTCAAAGAAAAATATTATTTTTTTAGGGGGAAAATAATATTTTATTCCAGAAAAACATGCATGTGTCCATGTCAGTACAGAAAATGGGCAGGAATAATAGCTAAGCTTGTTTCTACATGAAACACAATCTGTTCTTTGCCCCACTCAACTAATTTCTGTTTTAAATTTACTTTGTAACCTGTGATTAAAGAAGGAAGAGTTTCAGAGTGATGTCTGAAATAGAAAAATTCTATTTTGTTGTGTGGGTGAGATGGTAAAATTCAATGCTATCATCTCTAAGACTAAAAACCTTAATATGTAAACCTAAAATAAAAGACGCGGCGTGCAACGCGCCTGGGCATGTGGCATTTAATTTTCGTAAGCAAGCATTTTTAAAACTGGAAGACAAAGTAGTCTATCTAAATTCACACATTGAAGAATGAGATACTCACGTTACTTTCTTTCTGCTCTCCTCACTTTTCATATGCTTAATTGGTAGGTACAATGCACTCAGTTTAAGGACTTATTCTTTGCAATTCCTAGCTTTAATGCTACTTTATGCACAACAAAAAGTTAATTCACCGGAGCAGGAAAGTTCGAACAATTATACACGAGCTCTAGCTACCTAGAGCATGTTTGAACCCAACAACAAAAATGCACACAAAATCACATTAACACTGGTCTGAAGATTTAGAAAAAATATATATATATGGTGTAATCATCATCACAATACAGTCCAAAGCTAAACTCAAAGCAACCCATGAAAACAGAATAATAGATCAGTCTGAAGGAGTTTCTAAAAAGGAGACATATATCCCTGAGGCAACTAATCTAAAATAAAAGGCAAATTATTGAGACAAATAAGAAAGCTCCTGAAAACGCTGATAAAACTACTCAATCTGAACCGGGTACCTATGAATGCAATCTTCCCAGGGACTCTTGGGGGAGGGGGTCACATGTCTGAGGGCTTCCCACACCGCACTGTTACACTTAAACCCACTCCCAAAAGCAATCTGCCACACTTTGTGTCCCTTTCTCATCCTCCCCTTCGCCTCAGTGTAAGCTAACTCGTACCAAATCGAACTTGAAGAGGTGTTTCCGAACCTGTGCAGCGTCATTCTGGAAGCCTCCACATGCAGTGGCAGAAGCTGCAGATTCTTCTCCAGCTCATCGATCACAGCCCTCCCACCAGCATGAATGCAGAAATGGTCAAACGCGAGCTTGAAATCGGGGATGTAAGGCTTCATCTTGGCGATGAAAAGCTTCTTCACAACGAGTGTGAGAAAGAAGAGAAGTTGCTCACTTATAGGCAACACAAGGGGACCCAATGTGGTTATGTTAGTCTTAAGAGCCCCACCTGCAATGGCCATGAGATCCTTTGACAAAGACACCCCGATTTTTCCGACGTCATCTTGTTCCTGGTACACGCACCTAAAGGCCTTGTCATCTGCACCTTTGTGAGTCCTAACCACATGCAAAAGCTTGTATTTGGCTCGTCTTTTGTCGGAGCTTTTGTTGGAGAGAAGAATGGAGGCACCACCAACGCGGAAGAGACAGTTGGGTATCAACATGGCCTTGTTGTTCCCGAAATACCAATTCTGAGTGATGTTCTCGGTGCTGACGACAACTGCGTAAGTGTTGCGGTGGACCTGAAGCATGTCTTTGGCTAGATCGATGGCAATGACACCGGCGCTGCAGCCCATGCCTCCAAGGTTGAAGCTTTTGATATTGCCCCGGAGCTTGTACTTGTTGATGATCATGGCGGAAAGGGAGGGCGTAGGGTTGAAGAGACTGCAATTGACGACGATAATTCCGATGTCCTTGGGTTTGATGTGGGTGTTTGCAAAGAGGTTGTCAAGGGCGCCGAACATGACCTGCTCAGCCTCTTCCCTGGCTGCGGCCATGGAAGGGCGCGGAGGGATGGAGTGCATAGCCTCGGGGACATAGGTTTCCTCGCCGAGCCCCGAGCGGAGGAGAATCTTGCGCTGAAATTCGAGGGATGAGGGGGTGAAGTCGCCAGTGAGGGTGGAGTGATGGAGGAACCGTTGGAAGTGGACGTGGAGGTGGTGGGGAGGACGGTAACAGGAGAAGTCGATCAGGTAGATGGATGTGGGGCGGGTCATGATGTATAGGGTGGATCCCAAGACGAGGATGGCGGAGATAGCGATGACGCTGAGGAGGTTGTACTGGAGGTGGCCCCACAGCTCCTGAATGTCCTGCGCCTTCATCTGAGAGGCTTGGAGGAGGATTACGGACATCAGAGGGAGCAGGCACAGGGTCACCAGGTGTGACATCAGGTAGTGGTACCCCAGTTTCACATACTTCAGCTTTACGCTCTGCAAAAAATTCGGCAACCTCTTTTTCGACTCCTCTGATGTTGCGGTTGCGGTCGAGGTTGCCTTGGTGTCCCTGTCCATGTTTGGGATCTGATCTGTAATATGAAATCTGGTTTTGGTGGATATAACTGAAACAAAGAGACCGGAAGAGAGAGATGAATGTGTGTATTGGAAATGAAATCGAATGGGCTAAGGAAGCGAAAGAAGAATAATTTATGGATGTGTGAACGTGAAAAGAGAAATTGATGTGGCGAGGGTCAAAGAGACAGAAGCGGCAAGAGCAGGCTTCAATGTCACTTCTTTCACCCTCGCCCTCTTCACTCTCACTCTCTTCTTCACTTTCAATGAGCAACTCTGTTTTCGGATTAATTGCGTCTTTTTTTCTTTTCATTCCTTTGCTTTTCTCCTTTCTCCATCAACATTTCCTTCCTATTTCACTCAAATCATATGTCCAGATTTCTTTAATTAATCTAAACATCGGTCTTTCCTATTTAAAGTTTTCTTTCGTTAAGATCTATCTATAACTTATGTCTCAACAAACCTGCTTATAACAAATTTTACATTCAATTTTTCATAAATTCACTATCTAATTCATAAAACTCTTGTGTATAAAACATTTTTTTATTTTCTATTTTTTATTATAGATAAATTAATTTTACGTATGTTCTTCTATAAACTCTTACATAAAGTTTGTGAAAAGAAAAAAGAGTCCTAATATTCCTAATTCAAGTGATTAAAATCAAAGGTTTTTAATCTAACTGAGCAAAGTTATTTTAAGATTTGTATTTGAACCTTCTAGATCCTTTTGTATTTAAAAAAGGAAATATGTGAATCGATGTGGGTCACAAAAATTAATCAGTTTACTGGTTCAACCCAAAAACAGGTAGAGTCGGATTGGAATTCGGAAATTTTTCTTTTTGTGATATTTTTATCTTCGTAGTGTTTTTAGTTTTATTTCTTAACCACAACATGATGGATTTACTAAAATAACTATATTTATATATATTTACCATGATGGAATTACATTGTGCAACATTCAATTTCCAAGTTAAAATTAATTAAAACTTAAAAACCGTTTCCAAAATAAGTGCTTTGAAAACTAAATATGAAACAATTAAAATATTTTCTATTTTCTATTTTCCACATTTTTTAGTTACATGCATCTCATTCAATAAACAACAGTTTTCGTTGGAAAAAAAATAGAGATTTATTAAAAAAATAATTATCTATAACAACAATATGTAAAAAATAAACTTTTTGAATAAAAAAAATTATCCTCTAATAGTAACCTTTTTTTGTTTTAAATAACTAAATTACAAGGATATAAAAATAAATTGCTTATTTTTCATCTTTTTGAACTAAACAAAACAAATTGTATTTTGTCCTTTCTTGATTAGAAAAAAGTCGCTTTTACATAAAGCAGGAGCAATGATGAATTTATGATAATCATAAACTTTTCCCTCCCTTTTGACCAAATAATTTCATATTATCATCACTTTCACACGTGAAAATGGCAGAGACTCAATGATTGTCATTAGTTACCCCCCCCCCCCAACTTTTTTTCTTATTCCTTTTCATCGGTGCCAATTTCTCTCATACTATTTATTTACTCTCTTATCATGTTAACAATTTTTTAATATTTTTTACTTTGTTTCTTCACTGTAAATCTAAGTTATTTAAACTAAATTACACATTTAATTTATTTGTCTGCTTTTTTCACTTTTTTTTCATTTTTATAGAATTGGACCAGTTGAATTTCATTAACAATTTAACATCAATGTGCTTCATAATTTGAACAAAAATTAAAAGTGGGGATAGAGAGGACGCAATCATTACTCTCAATCTGAAGGTCTGTTTACAAATTTGATCTTCCCGATAAATGTAGACAAATCCCAAACAAGTTTCAAAATCTTTAGAAAAGAAAAAATGATCTCAAAACTTTAACCAAAAGAAAGGTTGTGTTTGAGTTTTATTTTAGAATTGTTATTTTTATACTTTTATACTTTGGGTGGAGGATGAATATTCACGAGTGAAAAAAATATATCATTTTTTATTATTTTTATTTTTTATTATAATAAAATAAATTTAAATATTAAATTTATGAGATAAATGACATTTAAAAGGGTGAATAGATATACAAATTAAAATAGATATCAAATTAAAAAATTATTTATAAGCCTATAATTTGTTTGAACATAGATAAAGCGGAAGTAATAATATAATAAAAAAAATAAGGAAAAGAGAAACGCACACAGTAATTTATACTGGTTCAGGTATAATCAACTTTACATTCAGTTCCCAGTCAACTCTAATCACAAGAGTGACTCCCAATTCACTATCTTTTAAATTCAGTTCACAAATTACAATCAACTCAGCAGAGGAACTAGTAAAAAGTAAACTAATTCAAAAGACAATCACCTCCTTAGAAACTCACTAAGGATGAACACCTCCCTAAAATCCCACTAGGGATGAACACCTCCCTAGAATCCCACTAGGGATGAACACCTCTTCTGAATAAATCAAATAATGAACACACCTCCTTATAATCCCACTAAGGATGAACATTTCCCTAAAATCCCACTAGTAATGAACATCTCCTTTAAACAAATTAAATTATGGAACAACCTCCTAAACTCACAAAGGATGAAGGAGTAAGATAAGAGTAGTCACACCTGGATAATGGAGACAACAAATTATAGAAGCCTGTAGAATGTCAATCTCCAAGAACAAGTGTGATTAACAATGAAAACACATAAGACAGTAAAGAATAAGGTTTTCTCATAAGGTGTAAAATATCTGTGTTGTCTTGCTCAGAATTCTTTTCTCAAGACTTATTGAATGTAAATTATATTTTTGAATTCTGTAATTGTGTGTTTTTTATTTTTCATCAAAACTTAATTAAATAGAAAAATAGCATCAGAAAATAATCGTTGGACATTAATAATATCATAGAGAAAATCAGGATGTATTCAAAAACATTTATTCTTTAAAACGGATATATTTTTCAAATTTGAATTGTCATAATTGATTATATTACCAGTATAATTAATTATAATAGAGAAAATCATTTTTCCATTTCTGGTACATCATAATTAATCATGACAGTGAAAAATATCATGTTATAAATTTTATCATACTTGTGCTTTGGAGGCTTATGCATAATATTATTTCATCAACTTGTACCTCCCTATTCAGTATTCTAAGACTTTATCTAGTCTTCAAGAATCATCTTGGACTTGTTTGAATCATCATCTTTATCAAAAACATATATTTGACATGTAGGAAAATGTTTTACATTGTCACCAACGTCTTAAATTCAGTTTGTCCTTAATTTATCTTGAGAATGGTGTTGACTTAAATCATCATTAAAATCATCTCTTGAGAATGTAAAGATATTTCCATCAATCTCCCCCTCGTTGCTTTCAAAATTAAAATTTATCATTTAATTATTATATTTTATATAATAATTTATTCAATATAATATCAATAAAATATTAATAAGATAATTTATTATTCCATGATATAAATTATAACCAATAGTACAATATAAATATAAAGATTAATGACATAACTGAATATTTCAATAACATAAATAACTATCATTCACTTTTACACAAATCTTTTCACTTTTAGTGTAAAAATATATCGGTAAAAAAAAAACACATTCCAATAATTACATTTTCCATGCTTATAGATTCTTGAAAAAAAAATCTTACAATGGACGCATCTTCTTTAAAGTAATACTTAACTTATTGTATAATTTAAAGAAATTTTTATTCTGAGATCTTATATTAATTTTGATAGATTTTTTAAAATTTTATTTTTATACTTTAATATTTTTTATATTTGAACACTAAATTTAAAAATTTATTTTGTTTATTATTTTACAAAATTTTGAATTATTTTGTATAAAAATATAATATGACAAATTTGTTAAACGTGAGATCTAATAACACGTAATAAAACAAATAAATTTTATGATAAAATAGAGAAAATGATGGTAGAATTCTATTGTATTTTTTCATTCAGTGAATTCATAAGATACTATTGTTTATTTTCAATGAAATTATTTTTTTTTTGAGTGGATCTTAGACAGCTCAATCATCCACATAATATGAACTTGAAGAAAAACAGGTTGTGTAGGTGGAAAAGACTAAATGTCTAAAATTACATTAAAAAAAAAATCATCAAAATTGTTCCAGGATAATAATAATAATAATAATAATAATAATAATAATAATAATAATAATAATAATAATAATAATAATAATAATAATAATAATAATAATAATAATAATAATAATATAAAAGTATATAAATTTACATTATAATGAAAATTTATAATTTTAAAAATTCATATTTATTTTAATTAAATTTTTAATACAAATATTTTAACTCTTTATCAATTTTTAAGTAATTATTTATAATTATTTTATTTTTCTCGTTCTCTCAAATTCATTCCTCGGTAATCAAATTTTCTACCTCAAACTTCATGTATCATCGCTACGAGATATGCCTTTCAACGTCGGTTATATAAGTCTTTCAACGGCGGTTATACAACCGACGTTGTATCGAGAGACGTTGAAAGTATACACTTTCAACGTCGGGTATAGATAACCGACGTTGAAAGTTTAGGCTTTCAACGTCGGTTATTCATACCTGACACTTTCAACGTCGGGTCTGGATAACCGACGTTGAAACGCTGAATATAATAGACACTGTATTTTGATGTTTACTACGTCGGTTATGGTATGAACCGACGTTGATATTAGCTTTTCTACGTCGGTTATTGTCACAACCGACGTAGAAAGTCTTTTTTTTTTTTTAATGGACGCTTTGTTTATACAGGGTACCCAATGTTTGTATATATACATACCTGCAAATTTGAATACAACCCAGGCAGACAATGTACAAGATATAAACAATTGAATGTGCATCCAAAAATAAAATTGTATCCAAAATTATAGTGTATCTAACTACTTATCTACCAAATACACTAACTACTAATCTAACTAATAAACTAACTAGTAAACTAACTAGTAAAGTAACTAAACTAACTAGTAAAGTAACTAAACTAACTA